ATGGCGATCAGCAAGCCTCTGGTTGCGAGCGGCCGTACGGCATAGTGCAGCACGGACCTCCTGCCAGACATGCCGGGCTCGCCGAAGGTGTTGCTGAATGGATGGTACTGCAACATCTCTCTCCTGGGTAGGGAACAGAGAAACCCATTGGCTGCCATGAATGGAGACATTCCAGTGGCTGAGCTGACCAAGGAGTTATGGGCGTATTCAATCCAAGGGAGGTGGGTGGACCAGGAAGCAGGGTGACGTGCAGTGACACAACGAAGAGCAGACTCCAAGTCTTGATTGGCCCGCTCCGTCTGGCCATTGGTATTGTGGATGATACCCTGAGGACAAGCTGGCTTGGGGCTCCCAGTGAGTGGCAGAAGGCTCTGTAAACCAGAGAGGTAAATTGTGGCCCCCTGTCCGAAACAATATCCTGAGGTATACCATGTATCCTAAACACATGTTTAATGAGTAAATTGGCAGTCTCAAAAGCGGAGGGCAGTTTGGTGAGTGGAATGAAGTGCACAGACTTGGAGAATCTGTCTACAACCGTAAGGATACCAGTATTACCTTCTGAAGGCGGGAGGCCAGTAACAAAATCCACCGCAATGTGCGACCAAGGCCGATGGGGAATAGGAAGTGGGCGGAGGAGTCCAGCTGGAGCACGGTGAGAGGACTTACTACGAGCACAAACGGAGCAGGTAGAAACAAATTCTCTGGTGTCAGACGACATGGATGGCCACCAGAAGCGCTGCTGGAGCAGGGTCAGAGTGCGGTGGAACCCAGGATGGCAGGAGACCTTGGACGCATGACCCCACTGAAGCACCACTGACCTAGCAGATTCAGGAACAAATAGGCAACCCCGTGGACATCCCTTAGGCGTGGGGTCACTCACCTGGGCCTCCTGGACCACTTTCTCCACCTCCCAGCGGGCTGCTCAAACAATACAGGTAGCAGGCAAAATGGGTTCCTCAGGAGAATCTACAGAGGAGGCGAACTGACAGGACAGAACATCAGGTTTCATATTCCTGGACCCAGGACGGAAGGCAAGGAGAAATTGAAACGGCCCAGGAAGAGAGCCCACCAAGCCTGACGAGAGTTGAGCCTGTGGGCGGACCGAAGGAAAGACAAATTTTTATGATCTGTCCATACCAAAAATGGTTGAGTAGAGCCCTCCAGCCAGTGCCTCCATTCCTTCAGAGTCATCACAACGCCCAGAAGCTCTCGGTTTCCCACATCATAATTCATCTCTGCGGGGGTCAATCGGCATGAGTAGAAGGCACAAGGATGTAGCTTTTGGTCTGATGTGGAGCGCTGTGAGAGGACTGCCCTGATGCATCCACCTCAACAATAAACTGTGCAGATGGATCAGGATGTGAAAGTACAGGTGCAGAACAAAATAGACTCTTTAATCTAACAAAGGCTGCCTCTGCCTCAGCTGACCACAGAAACTGTTCTTTCAAAGATGTTAACTTTGTTAGTGGAGAGGCAACTTTGCTATAATCGCGAATTAATCTTCAGTAAAAGTTAGTGAATCCCAGAAACCTTTGAAGTTGTTCTATTAGTAGGAGTGGGCCATTCAACCACAGCCTTAATCTTAGCTGGGTCAGTCTTAATTTGCCCCTTCTCCACAACAAAGCCTAAAAAACTAACAGAGGACACATGAAATTCACACTTCTCAGCTTTCACATAAAGTCTGTTCTCTAGGAGGCGCTGTAGAACAAGTTTCACATGTTGAACATGTTCCTGATAAGAATGAGAAAAGATCAAAATATCATCCAAGTACACAAACACAAACCTATTTAACATGTCTCTCGAACATCATTGATAAGAGCCTGGAAAACAGCTGGGGCATTAGTTAAGCCAAATGGCATTACCAGATACTCAAAATGACCAAGTGGGGTGTTAAAAGCTGTTTTCCACTCATCTCCCTCTTTGATTCGTATTAGATGGTAGGCATTACGAAGGTCCAGCTTTGTGAAAATAGTGGCCTCATGGAGGGAGCTGAAGGCAGAGTCTATAAGAGGCAGGGGATACTTGTTTTTAACAGTTATTTCATTCAGGCCCCTGTAGTCAATACATGGTCTTAAAGATTTGTCTTTCTTATCTACGAAGAAGAATCCTGCTCCTACAGGAGACAAAGAGGGTCGGATTAAACCAGCAGCCAACGAGCTCAAAATGTATTCCTCCATAGCTTCTCTTTCTGGCTTGGAGAGGTTATAGAGTTCACTGGTAGGTAGAGGGGCACCAGGTATTAGGGCAATGCTGCAATCATATGGCCTGTGTGGGGGAAGTGACAAAGCTCGGTCCTTGGAAAAAACCTCCTGGAGGTCATGGTATTCAGTGGGGACAAGTGTGAGATCGACTGGTTTGGGAGGAGTTAACACAGTCTGAGTAGTGGGCACGGCAGAGTGAAGACAGTGAGTGACAGAAAATGCTCCAATTAACTATGGACAGAGTAGACCAGTCTATGTGGGGATTGTGGAGCTTAAGCCAAGGGAGACCTAAGACTAAAGGAGAGGAGGGTGAGGAGACTATGTAGAGAGAAATGGTCTCGCAGTGGTTACCAGAGAGCAGCAGTGACACAGGAACAGTTCGATGAGTAACAGGCTAGTAGCTTTCCATCAAGGGTGAAAACTTTCTTGGGCTCAGGTAAAGGGTCTATAGGAATGTTGCAATGGGAAACAAATGCAGAATCAATAAAGTTGTCGTCGGCACCGGAATCCACCAGGGCTTGGAGAGGGAAAGAGGTCTGAGACCATGTGACAGTACCTTTAAGCTGAATTCGTTTGGAGAAGGGATCTGTGGGTGTGTGGCTCACCAGCGCCCCTCCGGAGACCGATGAACCCGCCCCTTTTAGACGAGCCGAACAATGGACCAGAATGTGGCCAGCCTGGCCACAGTACAGACAGAGGTTCTGGCTGAGACGGCGCTGACGTTCCTCAGGGGTTAGTCCCAATCTCCCCCCTTGCATGGGTTCCTCAGTGTTGGAGGAGGTGGAGGAAGCTGGAACTGCAGGTGTAGACACATGAGGAAGGGAGGAGGGAGCCGGCTGTTGGGAAGTTCTGGAGTAGGTAAGAGGAAAACTTTGCCTTGCTGCTCTCTCCCTATGCCTTTCCCTGAGACGGTTATCTAAACGGATGGCTAGAGAAATCAGTTCCTCCAAAGAGATTTCATCACAGGCAGCTAGTTCATCTTTAACCTCTTCACTTAAACCCTGGAAGAACACCCCTTGCAAAGCTTTCTCTTCCCACAACAGTAAAAGTATGTAATGAGTTACAAATGGTACCAGAGCTACTAGCTAAAGGCACTGTCCAGGCTGAAGCTTTACCAGAAAGTAAACTCATTATGAAAGCTACTTTAGCTTTATCAGTAGCATAGGTTAGAGGTTGTTGGTCGAAAACTAGCATACATTGATGTAAAAATTGCATACATGTCCCTAATTCTCTAGAATACCTGGCAGGTGTTGGGATGAATGGTTCATGGGACTGGGCAAAATGGGGCTCTGGAAATGCAGGAACAGGTGAAGCTGGAGCTGGTGTGGGCGCTGGAGCTGAAGCTTGAGCCGAAAGGTGAGAAGCAACTATATCAAGATGGCTGCTGAGCTGAGACACACCGGTAGTGAGAGTTTGCAGGGAGTCCATAATCTGCTTTAGCTTTTCTTCTTGCTGTCCCACATGAGCTCCTTGAAAGGTAAGTGCTTGTTTGAGCCAGAGGCAACGGCAGACAACCACGGAGACACCTGGGCGAAAACAGGAACAGGTAAGTCCAAAACTAGCAGCGAGCAAAATGGATACATATCCAAGAGCCTGATAGACGCTACCGAACAGGACGGAATTATCTGGCAAAATGGTGGTGAGAAGACCAGGGCTAAATACAGAGGCTGATAAAGGAATTGATTGCAGATGTGTCTCATCTGCTCTGGAAGAAGCCACGCCCCCTGCCACACTCATGCTCTGCAACAAAAGGGGAGGGGGAGAGAACAAAAAACCAAATCCTAACAAAAATATTTTTCATGTGTATATTATGAAATATATCAATGCAAAAAAATCTACTAATTCACTTTATGATCAACCGAATGGAACACAGTTTATTATTTGTGATTTCTGGACTATGGAAAGTAGGAAATTTAAGGTTTGACAATATTAGTATGAATTATAAGGTGAGAGTTTGGTTGCTTTTTATAACCTATTCATTTAATGTGTATAAAAATGTGCACAAGCTCCTATAGTGTAATTTTTTTGAAGGTGTGAGTGAAGGTAAAGAAAATCTAATTGGCCTAGATTGTTTTTTCACAGAAATTGGTTATAAATAGATCATGTGATCTTACACCTATCAGTTCAAGTCTATTTATATGTCACATTTAAAACAACTTAAGCTGACCAGAGTGGTTCTTACAGTGAAGACAATACAAAAACAAATAGCACTATACATAAGAATAGTGAATTAAAAGGCACAGAATAAAAAAAAAAAAACACCAATATATCTTGTCTAGCTAGTATTAAATGTCAGGGAGAAAAGATGGGTTGTAGATATAAACTGGGTTAAAGACTGAGAAGCAGAGAGAGACTGTCTGACCGCTGCCACAGAAAAGGCTTTGTCACCTGTCTTAGCTGACCTTAGGGCTCTCTGTATAGTAACTCCCTCAAAAAAAGTACAGGTATTTATAAAAAAAATCAATATTTTAAATAATCTACTGTATGTGATATACACTTGTCTCATAATTTTAGTCAGCAGATAAGATGCAGCTTTCTGGGTGCTCTGTAAACACTTCAGGGAACCCCGGTCCAAGCCTACATACAAAGGATTACAGAATTCCATACACAAATGCGAGGGTTGCCCTTTCAAAATTAACTGGTGGAAGGTAGGCCTTTATTCCAGTATCAATAGTCTATGTCTGGATGGAAAAAAAACAATACCAGAGAAATTTTAAAGGGAGTGCCACGATGACTATTATCAAGATAGTGAGGTTGAAATAACAAAGTTAATAAGGGCGGCCCGGCCCAATCTGCTATGAGGATATATGTAGCCCTGCAACATGCACTCAAAGATCATTGGCGAAGGCTTTTAAAAATAAGCAGCACATAAGAATTTGGAAATATTTTCCTTCCAGTGAGTATGATCATATTTATTATGTTTTATATTCATATTTTGTATGCAGTCAAACTTTAAAGTTTATTTTAATATCTGTTAATATTAAATGTAAAAGAGGTGCTACTGATATAAAAAGTCAAATATGTTTTTTGTGTCTCCCATAAAAGGTTTACAGAAACAATGGGTAGTGGAAGACTCATAACACTATTATTAACTGTAATAGGTAAGTATAAAAAATATATCCATATGTATATGAAAACTTTATGTATAGTGCTCTCTCTCTCTCTCTCTCTCTCTCTCTCTCTCTCTCTCTCTATATATATATATATATATATATATATATATATATATATATATATATAAATATCTCTCTCTATATATATCTCTATCTATCTATATATCTATATAGATATAGATATAGATGTATCCAATTTTAAGATCAATTCAATAATATCTACTGGGCCCACCAAACCTCTTAAGTATCATCCTTATGGTGTCCACAAGGCTCTGGCAGAAATAAATAAGTTTTTCTCAAATAACTTTAGGGGCATGGTGTCAGTGAATGTTGAATATACATGTTGCTATTGCGCATATTTTGGTACCCATTTTATATCTGTTGTTATAGTTGTTTTATTTAATTTTCAAAATTATATAATGTATTTCATAATTATCCAATATCCACAAAGGCCAAAGATAAAATGAGAGACAATACGTTAAAATGAAAAACACTAATTTTACTCATTGAAACAGTGAAAATGTCAACACTTTTGTAGCTCTATAGGAGCCCACGATATTGATACTGTATTATCAGATTAAACGATACTATATATCAATATTTAAATATTTTTGCACACCCCTATTTCTTATTGAGGCTTTGACTTGTAGGTGTACAGTGTACATGTCTGATAATGTACAGTCATAATATAATAATACATGTATTAAAGATGATGATTAAATGTGTTAATTTCAAGTTGCATAATGTGTTGTAAGCCCTTCATTTGTTTAAATTCAGGACCTATTGCTTATTCAAGGTCCTTGAAATGCCAAAGAAATGACACTTTTGCCATATCTCAGAAACTAATCATAGTAGAGGCATAAAGCTGGTACCAAATGATGTGCAATGTCCATATTTATATTCAACTTCCATTGATACTATAGGGATAAATTAATTATTTTTGATGTTATTAAAAAATATATATTTTTCAGCTCAGACTTAAAGGTTGTATAGAGGATTTTCCAAGGAACGAGAAATCCAGCGACTGTTTGTCCTTTTTCAAATGTTGCGCATGCGTGAAACCACCCCCCCTCCCCTACAGCTCCCTACATAGAAACGCCTCCTCCCCGCCTTCCTTACTACGCCAGAAACAGGTTTGTTTACAGCCGGTGCACTGCACATGACTTGTAAACAACTAACTATAGTGTTGGTTAGGCAAGACGGAGAAGTGAGGAGCGGGGGAGCGGGTGTGCGGACATTTCGTTCGCGGACGAGAAGTGAGGAGCAGGGAGAAGAGCGGAGCGGGGGGAGAGGAGAGGAGAGAGAAGAGGGGAGCGGTGCGCGGAGATTCCGTGCCCGGAGAAGTGAGGAGCAGGGGGAAGAGCGGATCGGGCAGCGGGGACAGGAGCAGGAAAGGGGTGCAGAGAAGGTTGCGCGGAGATTCAGTGCGAATGAACTAGTTACAACACGCAGCAGCAAGCGGACTCTTTCTTTGCCTTGAAAATTACGTTTTCAGACATAGGATATCGCTTTCGTGTCCTGAAAAACGTTTGTCTAGCTCTTGGAAATAAAGTACGTTTTCATAATAAGCAGAAGTGACCTGTCCAGGAGTAATTTGGCGACCAGTGCGTCAGTCTTTAGACCCTGCGTCTGCTTCAGTTGCGCCATCGCTGGAATGAATCTCCAAGAATCACCTTAGTTTGGCTTTGCTGCTTTTCCCCTTGTCTTCTTCTTTCAGCAATCTCAAAAACGGACTTTCTTTTGCGGCTAACTGCTCCTGGATTCTTGTCTGCCATTGCAACAAACTTTGTGCGAACTGCGAGGAAGATATAGGTCAAAAAAAAGCCGCTAAGAACTGTTGCGTTGGTGGAGTAAACAGCGTCTGTGCGTCTTGCGTCTGTGGACTGTGTGACAGGCGTACGCAAACCACGTAACGGCAGCGCGCAGGCAAGTCAGTTACGCTAGAAACGTAGGGAGTTTGATTGACAGCCTGTCAGCTCACAGATAACGAGGCAATGTCGTTATCTATTGGCAAATGTTTAGCTGGCCCCACCACGTCCAGAGTTGATGAATTTTTATTCTCTTTTTTTTGGTCATCATAATTACAAGGCTACTGCATCTCTATAATGCTATCATTGACAATTTGAAACAAAAAAAAAATCCTCCATACAACCTTTAAGGCTTCCGCAGGCACTACATTTTAGAGGCTCATACAATGATGAGATTTTCCCTTGTGGAAAATATTTACACACATGGGAGAAAAATATGAATAAATGTGTAGATTGATATTTGCATGAACAGAGTGACATCTGCATCCATTATGACAGATACAACCACAATTCAGCGACTGCAACTTCCCAATGTTTTCCAGTAGGTTCATGTGCATGTGCAAATTGCAAAATGTGTTGCAAAAGTCAAGGCGCGCAGATTTGAACCTGCTGGGACACATTTGAGAAGTTGCAGTCGCTGAATTGTGGTTGTATCTGTCATAATGGATGCAGACGTCACAAATCACACACATTCTATATCTACATATCTACACATTTATTCATATTTTTCTCCCGTGTGTGTAAATATTTTCCACAAGTGAAAATCTCAATCCGTAAGTGCACAAATTTTTTTCAAGCACTCATGTGTTTTTTTTTCACCGTGACTGCAAATTCAACACACACGTATATGAAAATAGGTAATTACAAGTTCAAAGTTTTGTTTTACACATTCTCACATTATATTTTACAAGTTCTCAAATCAAGTGTACACGCTCTCTCATTATGCAACATATTTACCTTCATATCCTAACCCTAACCCCTAAACCAAATTATTATAATTTTGATTCTTAGAAGTTGTAGAGATTAAGTGAATAAATAATTGCATGAGTTTGAGTGCTTAATTAATATCTCAGCCAGTAATAAGTAAGAAAAAATTCTCCTGCTCGTAGACTCAGAAAATGAAAAACAGAAGTTCAAAAAAATGAAGAATTTCCCGATATGTTTTACTAAAAAATTGTTATATTTCAATTTGAAATTGACAGGACTGACAACAGCTGCGGTCACCACAACAGCTCCCCCAACCACCACCACAACAGCTGCCCAACAGCCCCACCACCACCACAACAGCGGCCCCAACCACCGCCACAACTCAAATGCGCCCTGTGCGGTCCAGCTGCCCCAACAACACAGCTGCCCCAGCACCACCACAACAGCGGTCCCAACAACTACAGCGGTCCCAACCACCACAACAGCGGTCCCAACAACCACCACAACAACAGCGGTCCCACAACCACGCAACCACCAACACGGTCCCAACCACCACAACAGCGGTCCCAACCACCACCACACAGCGTCCCAACCACCACCACAACAGCGGTCCCAACCACCACCACAACAGCGGTCCCAACCACCACACACACAGCGCCCAACCAACCGCGCCCCAACCACCAGCCCACAACAGCGGTCCCCAACCACCACCACACAGCAGCCCCAACCACCACCAAACAGCGCCCAACCACCACCACAGCGGTCCCAACCACCACCACAAGCCCCAACCACCACCACAACAGCTGCCCCAACACCAACAAACAGCTGCCCCAACCACCACCACAACAGCTGCCCCAACCACAACCACCCCAACAACGGCCCACCACCACAAAACAGCGGTCCCAACCACCACCACACACAACCACGCCCACCACCGCAACAACAGCGGTCCCAACCACCGCCACAGCGCCCCAACCACCGCAACAACAGCGGCCCCAACCACCACCACAACAGCGCCCCAACACACAGCCCCCAACCACCGACAACAGCTGCCCCAACCACCACACAGCGGTCCCAACCACCACCACAACAGCGGTCCCAACCACCGACCACAACAACGGTCCCAACCACCACTACAACAGCGGTCCCAACCACCACCACAACAGCGGTCCCAACCACCACCACAACAGCCAACAACAGCTGCCCCACACCACGCCACCACCACAACAGCGGTCCCAACCACCACCACCAGCCCCAACAGCGTCCCCAACCACAACGCCCCACCACCACAACAGCGGTCCCAACCACCACCACAACAGCCCCAACCACCACCACACCACCACCACAACAGCTGCCCCAACAGCACCACCAACCACGCCCAACCCCAACCACCACCACCACGCCACAACAGCGGTCCCAACCACCACCACAACAGCCCCAACCACCAACCACCAACAGCGGCCCAACCACCACCACACACCACAACAGCGGTCCCAACACACCACAACAGCTGCCCCAACCACCGCCAGCCACCCCACCACCCACAGCCACAACAGCGCCCCAACACCCCAACACCGCCCCAACAAGCGGCCCACCGCAACAGCGCCCCAACCACCACCACAACACAACAGCGCCCCACCACACAACAGCGGCCCAACCACCAGCCGCTCCCAACCACCACCACAGCGGTCCCAACCACCACCACAACAGCGCCCAACCACCACCACAACAGCCCCCAACCACCACCACAACCAGCTGCCCCAACCACAACAGCGGTCCCAACCACACCCACAACAGCGGTCCCAACCACCACCACAACAAACCACACAGCGGTCCCAACCACCACCACAACAGCCCCCAACCCACCCCACAACAGCTGCCCCAACCACCACCACAACAGCTGCCCCAACCACAACAGCGGTCCCAACCACCACCACAACAGCGGTCCCAACCACCACCACAACAGCGGCCCCAACCACCACCACAACAGCTGCCCAACCACCACCACAACAGCTGCCCCAACCACAACAGCGGTCCAACACCACCACACACAGCGGTCCCAACCACCACCACAACAGCGGTCCCCAACCACCACCACAACAGCGCCCCAACCACCACCACAACAGCCCAACAGGTCCCAACCACCACCACAACAGCTGCCCCAAACCACCACCACAAACAGCTGCCCAACCACCACAACAGCGGTCCCAACCACCACCACAACAGCGGTCCCAACCACCACAACAGCGGCCCCAACCACCACCACAACAGCGGTCCCAACCACCACCAACACAGCGGTCCCAACCACCACACAACAGCGGTCCCAACCACCACCACAGCAAGCGGTCCCAACCACCACACAACAGCGGTCCCAACCACCACAACACGGCCCAACCAACAACAGCGCCCCAACCACCACCACAACAGCTGCCCCAACCACCACCACAACAGCTGCCCCAACCACCACCACAACAGCTGCCCAACCACCACCGCCAACCCCCACCACCCACAACAGCGGTCCCAACCACCACCACAACAGCTGCCCCAACCACCACCACAACAGCTGCCCCAACCACCACCACAACAGCTGCCCCAACCACAACAGCGGTCCCAACCACCACCACAACAGCGGCCCAACCACACCAGCGGTCCCAACCACCACCACAGCGGTCCCAACCACCACCACAACAGCGTCCCAACCACCACCACAACAGCGGTCCCAACCACCACCACAACAGCTGCCCCAACCACCACCACAAAGCACAACAGCTGCCCCAACCACCACCAACAACAGCTGCCCAACCACCGCACCACAACAGCGGTCCCAACCACCACCACAACAGCGGTCCCAACCACCACCACAACCACCGCTGGTCCCCAACCACCAACCACAACAGCGGTCCCAACCACGCACCCCACCACACAAGCGGTCCCAACCACCACCACAACAGCGGTCCCAACCACCACCACAACACAGCGGTCCCAAACCACCACACAAACAGCTGCCCCAACCACCACCACAACAGCTGCCCAACCACCACCACAACAGCTGCCCCAACCACCACCAACAACAGCTGCCCCAACCACCACCACAACAGCTGCCCCAACCACCACACAGCTGCCTCCCAACCACCACCACAACAGCGGTCCCAACCACCACCACAACAGCGGTCCCAACCACCACCACAACAGCGGTCCCAACCACCACCACAACAGCTGCCCCAACCACCACCACAACAGCTGCCCCAACCACCACCACAACAGCGGTCCCCCAACCACCACGCACACAGCCCCCAACCACCACCACCAACAGCGGTCCCAAACCACACAACAGCGGCCCACCACCACCACAACAGCGCCCCAACCAACCACACAGCTGCCCCCCAACCACCGCCACAACAGCGGTCCCAACCACCACACAACAGCGGCCCAACCACCACAACAGCGGTCCCAACCACCACCACAACAGCGGTCCACCAGCGGTCCCAACCACCACCACAACAGCTGCCCCAACCACCACCACAAACAGCTGCCCCAACCACACCACCAACAGCGCCCAACCACCACCACCACAACAGCGGTCCCAACCACCACCACAACAGCTGCCCCAACCACAACAGCGGTCCCAACCACCACCACAACAGCGGTCCCAACCACCACCACAGCAGCGGCCCAACTGCCCCAACACAGCGGTCCCAACCACCACCACAACAGCGGTCCCAACCACCACCACACACACAACAGCTGCCCCAACCACCACCACAACAGCTGCCCCAACCACCACCACAACAGCTGCCCCAACCACAACAGCAGTCCCAACCACCACCACAACAGCGGTCCCAACCACCACCACAACAGCGGTCCCAACCACCACCACAACAGCGGTCCCAACCACGACCACAGCAGCGGTCCCCAACCACAACAGCGGTCCCACCACACAGCCCCAACCACCACCACAACAGCGGTCCCAACACCACCACAACAACTGCCCCAACACCACCACAACAGCTGCCCAACCACCACCACAACAGCTGCCCCAACCACCACCACAGCCCCAACAGCTGCCCGCCAACCACCAACACAGCGGTCCCAACCACCACCACAACAGCGGTCCCAACCACCACCACAACAGCGGGTCCCAACCACCACCACAACAGCGGCCCAACACCACCACAACAGCTGCCCCAACCACCACCAACACACAGCGGCCCCAACCACACCACAACAGCTGCCCCAACCACAACAGCGCCCCAACCACCACCACAACAGCGGTCCCAACCACCACCAACAACAGCGGTCCCAACCACCACCACAACAGCTGCCCAACCACCACCACAACAGCTGCCCCAACCACAACAGCTGCCCCAACCACACAGCTCCCAACCACCACCACAACAGCGCCCCAACCACAACACCACCAACACCCACCAACAGCGGTCCCAACCAACCAGCACAACAGCTGCCCCAACCACAACAGCGGTCCCAACCACCACCACAACAGCGGTCCCAACCACCACCACAACACAACCTGCCCCAACCACCACCACAACACCTGCCCCAACCACAACAGCTGGTCCCAACCACCACCAAACAACACAGCGTCCCAACCACCACACCACAACAGCGGTCCCAACCACCACCAACAAACAGCGGTCCCAACCAACCACCACAACAGCGGTCCCAACCACCACCACAACAGCTGCCCCAACCACCACCACAACAGCTGCCCCAACAAACAACAGCTGCCCCAACCACCACCACAACAGCTGCCCCAACCACAACAGCGGTCCCAACCACCACCACAACAAGCTGCCCCAACCACACAACAGGTTCCCAACCACCACCACAACAGCGGTCCCAACCACCACAACAGCGGTCCCAACCACCACCACAACAACAGCGGTCCCAACCACCACCACAACAGCTGCCCCAACACAACAACAGCTGCCCCAACCACCACCACAACACACAGCTGCCCCAACAACAACAGCTGCCCCAACCACCACCACACAGCGGTCCCAACCACCCACAAACAGCGGCCCCAACCACCAACCAGCGGTCCCAACCACCACCACCAACAGCGGTCCCAACCACCACCACAACAGCGTCCCCAACCACCACCACACAACAGCCCCCCAACCAACACAGCTGCCCAACAGCTGCCCCAACAACTACAGCTGCCCCAACCACCACCACAACAGCTGCCCCAACCACCACACAGCGGTCCCACCACCACCACAACAGCTGCCCCAACCACCACAACAGCGGTCCCAACCACCACCACAACAGCGGTCCCAACCACCACCACAACAGCGGTCCCAACCACCACCACAACAGCTGCCCCAACAACTACAGCTGCCCCAACCACCACCACAACAGCTGCCCCAACCACCACCACAACAGCTGCCCCAACCACCACCACAAGCTGCCCCAACCACCACCACCCCAACAACAGCGGTCCCAACCACCACCACAACAGCGGCCCCAACCACCGCCACAACAGCTGCCCCAACCACCGCCGCAACAGCTGCCCCAACCACCGCCGCAACAGCTGCCCCAACCACCGCCGCAACAGCTGCCCCAACAACAACAGCGGTCCCAACCACCACACACAGCGGTCCCAACCACCACCACAACAGCGGTCCCAACCACCACCACAGCGGTCCCACCACCCACCACACAACAGCTGCCCCAACCACCACCACAACAGCGGTCCCAACCACCACCACAACAGCGGTCCCAACCACCACCACAACAGCGGTCCAAACCACCACCACAACAGCTGCCCCAACAACTACAGCTGCCCGAACCACCACCACAACAGCGGCCCCAACCACCACCACAACAGCGGTCCCAACCACCACAACTCCCCAACAACCACAACAGCGGTCCCAACACAACACCACACACACAACAGCGCCCAACCACCACAACAACAGCTGCCCCAACAACTACAACGGTCCCAACCACCACCACAACAGCGGTCCCAACCACCACCATAACAGCGGTCCCAACCACCACCACAACAGCTGCCCCAACAACAACAACCACTACCACAACAGCTCCCAACCACCACCACAACAGCTGCTCCTCCCAATACAACTACAACCACCACTGCTCCCCAAGCCACTACATCAAATTATGAAGTCTCAACATCTTTGAATAATGAACCCTTTTTACCCGATTATGAAGACCCTACCAGTGAAAAATATAAAACTCTGAAATCCAAAGTAGAAAACAAGGTAAGTACATCTGTGCATTATGTATATGTGCACCCTAATTTAACATATTAATCAACTGATCCCGTTTTAGTGTAAAACCAAACTCGACGAAAGCTTTGGAGTTCCAGGTTCTGTATGCAGTGTAAACAGATTTAGGTAAGATTTAAGCCAATTCATTACAGGTGAATAATACTAATTAATTCACCATTTTTCCTTTTCCAAACATGGGGCAATCTGCTAAATATTCACATTACAGTTCCACAGAGTACAGTTAATTTTGGCTTTTAGTAATTCATTCAGGTGATTTAATGCTTGTGTTTTGTGTGATGTTTTTGAATACAGATCCTCCGCACAACGGATAGAAAACAATGGCACTATAGTAGATATGACAATTAAATTTCCAGCTTCAGTGCCAGAGGCCGATCTTCCAGCAACTGACAATCTTGTAGATTCTCTCCAGAAGGGGAATGACACTTTTGGGAATGTTGTTGTGACCTGTATGTATAACAAAAGAACGTAAAGCTTAAAAACAAATTAGGTTATTTTAATTCGTGTTTTTCTTTTTCAGCTTTTACACCTGCGCAAACTACAACAACCACAACAACAACTTCCCCAACAACCACAACAACAACTGCCCCAACAACCACAACAACAACTGCCCCAACAACCACAACAACAACTGCCCCAACAACCACAACAACAACTGCCCCAACAACCACAACAACAACTGCCCCAACAACCACAACAACAACTGCTGCAACAACCACAACATCAAATTATGAAGTCACAGCAACTTTGAAGTTTGAACCCTTTTTACCCGATTATGAAGACCCTACCAGTGAAAAATATAAAACTCTGAAATCCCAAGTAGAAAAGAATGTAAGTACATCTGTGCATTATGTATATGTGAACCCTAATTTAACATATTAATCAATTGATCCTGTTTTAGTGTAAAGCCAAACTCGACGAAAGCTATCAAGTTCCAGGTTCTGTATGCAGTGTAAACAGATTTAGGTAAGATTTAAGCCAATTCATTACAGGTGAATAATACTAATTAATTCACCATTTGTCCTTTTCCAAACATGGGGCAATCTGCTAAATATTCACACTACAGTTCCACGTTGCACACTTAATTTTGGCTTTTACAAATTCATTCAGGTGATTTAATGTTTGTTTGTTTTCTGTGATGTTTTTGAATACAGATCCTCCGCACAACAGATCAGAGTCAATGCCACTGAAGTCGATATGACAATTAAATTTCCATCTTCAGTGCCAGTGGCTGATCTTCCAACACCTAACAATCTTGCAGATTCTCTCCAGAAGGGGAATAGCACTTTTGGGAATGTTGTTGTGACCTGTATGTATAACAAAACAATGTACATCTTAAATACAAATTAGGTTATTTTAATTCATGTTTTTCTTTTTCAGCTTTTACACCTGCGCAAACTACAACAACCACAACAACATCAACCACAGGTAATTTATTATAGTTATTTTATTACTGGCTTTATTATTGGCTTTATTACTTTATTATTGGCCATTAAAAATATTGAACTATCTAATAGTTGTTTTATCATACAATTTTAAAAATATGTTGCAGCATCAAGTGGAGCAACCCTCAAGATCAGCTTTGGCAATACATTTTTCTTCATGTTTCTGTCTTATCTACTGGCACATCTACTGTAGAATACAGCATGATCTGCACATTTATCATCACACATTCTGTTTCCAGGTGTGTATAAAAACCTGCAATTTGTTTCATTTTCACATTATGTATGTCTTTTAGCAGAAAAATAATATATAATAATAATAATAATTCTGCATTAGCCTTGTTTACCAGACCCTTGTTAGTGAAATGCTGCTTCTATATCCATAGCTGCCCTAAGGTAGACATAGGGGAGCAAGCCTGCCTAACTTCACCAGCTCTTGAAGTTTTGTTAATCACATTTTTGTTAAAATTAAAATAAACTATTATCATAATCAATGTTCTTACTTATTTTTGTGTGCATTGTGTTTTTTTGTGTCAAGCCTTAACAAAATCAAAGGTTTTTGAGTCCTTGTGTCTTTTGGGTATAAACCTAAGTGATAACTTGACTTAAAAGGCAAGACATCCTGAAAGCTGCTCACAAAATAGCCAATAAGTTATGTTAGAGAGGTAAAAAAAAAAAGGTTAATAAAATGTTTTTCATTCAATAATTAAAGATTGAATTATTTAATAAATATTGGATCTTGCAATTGATGCATTTTCACCACATGAGTTCACAGCCAATGGACTGAAACCAGTTTCAAATTCAGTGTGGACTCACAAGGAAGGGTGTGTGTGCTGTGTCATGTGACCAGTTTTACACACACAATAGGCCTTCTGCTATATATGATTATAAAATATTAAAGTAGCTACTTACAAAAATGCATTAGAAAAAGCAACAGACTTGACGCTCACTGCTTCATCCAATAATTTGTAATGCAGATCTAGATGGTGAGCATAAATGATGAACTAGGAGCAAAGTGGGGTTTTCCCGAGGCTAGGGGAGGATGAGTGGCATGATCTGCGCTCTGCATATGGTTGAAGCTAAAACTTTAGAATCTGTAGAATCTTTTTTTTTCTTTTTCTGGAGGACCAAAGAAAACGGTCTTGTAAAGGACTGAAGAACTGTGCGTAAGAGCGCCACTTCTGACCAACACTGTGCCTTTGAGCCTTGGTGACCTAAAGCTCTGCTCCGCTACACGCTCAGGTGGTTACATGTGATGACGAGGGTTTATCACAGTGTATATGCACTGTCCACACACTCACACTACAGCACTGATAAGAATATGTGCACAAAGACTTGGTCAAAGAGAGACAGATCTCATCTGAGTCTTAAAGGGCCCATATTACCCTATTTTCTGATATATGTTATAAAGTTGTTTCTTCAGTTTTGTTTCATTCACACATGTTTAACATAGGAACCCTGCATGTTTAGGTTGAGTTCCTCTCTCAAACAGAAAACACTATGATTCCACCTTATAATGCCACGTGGTAATACAGGAAGTGCTCCGCTGTGTTTTTAAACTCCATGCACTTTAATTAGAATCATTTGGATGATTTCAGACCTGGAATTGCCAATCTCTACTGAATTAAAAGTAGCTATAAAGGTAGCTATACACATGACATCACAGGGTAGAACAGAGCATCATGAACTTTGGAGATGTAGTATTACTCAACATGTGTGAATGAAACAAAACATGACTCCAGGAATGTTTTTGATGAGGTAACAACAATATAACATGTCTTAAAGCTCACAAACATACATTTTCTGTAATATATGACCTTTAACTAAGGCTTTTAATCTCCTCTTGACCAAGTTAGCTCTGCTGCTGTGTTACTACAGTGATATAACTATGCTGAAAAGTGACCCACAACAACAACTGGATCTACCACAACAACTGGACCTACAACAACAACTGGACGGTCCAGTCTGGACCTACAACAACAACCACAACAGCTACAACAACAACTGCCCCAAAAACTACAACAACTGCCCCAGCAACAACCACAACAACAACTGCACCAACAACCACAACAACAACTGCTCCAACAACTACAACAACTGCACCAACAACCACAACAACAGCTGTCCCAATAACCACAACAACAACTGCCCCAACAACAACAACTACAACAACAACAACTGCCCCAGCAACAACCACAACAACTGCCCCAATAACAACCACAACTGCCCCAACAACAACCACAACAACAACTGCACCAACAACCACAACAACAGCTGTCCCAACAACCACAATAACTGCCCCGACAACCACAACAACAACTGCCCCAACAACCACAACAACTGCCCCGACAACCACAACAACAACTGCCCCAACAACCACAACAACTGCCCCGACAACCACAACAACTGCCCGACAACCACAACAACAACTGCCCCGACAACCACAACAACTGCACCAACAACTACAACAACAACAACTGCCCCAGCAACAACCACAACAACAACTGCACCAACAACTACAACAACAACTGCCCCAAAAACTACAACAACTGCCCCAGCAACAACCACAACAACAACAACTGCCCCAGCAACAACCACAACAACTGCCCCAATAACAACCACAACAACAACTGCACCAACAACCACAACAACTGCCCCAACAACAACCTCAACAACTGCCCCAATAACAACCACAACTGCCCTAACAACTACAACAACAACTGCCCCAGCAACCCCCACAACAACTGCCCCAATAACAACCACAACAACAACTGCACCAACAACCACAACAACTGCCCCAACAACAACCTCAACAACTGCCCCAATAACAACCACAACTGCCCTAACAACTACAACAACAACTGCCCCAGCAACAACCACAACAACAACCACAAAAACAACTGCCCCAACAACTACAACAACAACTGCCCCAACAACTACAGCTGCTCCGCCCACTACAACTACAACCACCACTGCTCCCCAAGCCACAACATCAAATTATGAAGTCACAGCAACTTTGAAGTTTGAACCCTTTTTACCCGATTATGAAGACCCTACCAATGAAAAATATAAAACTCTGAAATCCAAAGTAGAAAAGAATGTAAGTACATCTGTGCATTATGTATATGTGAACCCTAATTTAACATATTAATCAGTTGATCCTGTTTTAGTGTAAAACCAAACTCGACGAAAGCTATCAAGTTCCAGGTTCTATATGCAGTGTAAACAGATTTAGGTAAGATTTAAGCCAATTAATTACAGGTGAATAATACTAATTAATTCACCATTTGTCCTTTTCCAAACATGGGGCAATTTGCTCAATATTCACAATACAGTTCCACATTGCACAGTTAATTTTGGCATTTACTGACTCATTCAGGTGATTTAATGTTTGTGTTTTGTTTGATGTTTTTGAATACAGATCCTCCGCACAACAGATCAAAGTCAATGCCACTGAAGTAGATGTGACAATTAAATTTCCATCTTCAGTGCCAGTGGCCGATCTTCCAGCAACTAACAGTCTTGCAGATTCTCTCCAGAACAGGACTTTTGGAAATATTGCTGTGACCAGAATGTATAACAAAATAACGTACAGCCATAATCTCATAAACAAATTAGTTTATTTTAATTAATGTTTTCTTTTCCAGATTTTACACCTGCTACTGTTACAACTACAACAACTACAACAACCACAACATCCACATCAACAGGTAACTTAATTTATTATAGTTATTTTAATATTGATTACATCTGAAATATTGAACCATCTAATAAATGTTCTACAATATTAAATGTGTTGCAGTATCAAGTGGCGCAACCCTTAACTATAAATTGGACAAAATGGTTAATAATTTGCTGCAACATTTATTGATAGTGTTTTTGTTGCATTACTCATTGCACTTTCACTTTTGTATGGGTTTTTGTTTAGCTTAGGATATGTACAGCAGGAGTCTGCTCACAGAATACCCAGTAGGTTATGTTAAATATGAAATTAAAGGATCTTGTCCTTGTTACTGTGAATGTTCAAAGAGAAAAAAAATAAATAAATATTATAACTTTCTCAAATGTTGTTAGTTTCCCTCTTTGTCAAAGAAGTCATAAAGTAACAAGTATCTCGACCCACACAATGGAAATAGTTACAATGACCTCATATGGCCCAATATTGTTACTGATCTTGGTTTCCATTCCATCAGGTATAAGGATGACAATGCTGAAAACTTTTTGCAATTAATAGATGTTTTCTTTGGCCATTTTATTAACTTGAACTGCTACTTTATTTGCAAGGAGTAATTTAACTTAACTATTACTTTTTAAAGAGTTTCTGACCCCCATATGATTTTTAAGCACATTTCTGGCCCTGGCCTAGACCTACCCATGTTCATTCACAGAATGGGACATTTCTCAGTCCTTTGTTTGATTCTATTACATCTGTTTTCTGAAAACATCCCGTACTCATATAGTGTTTCACAAAAGTAATTACTGACTAATTAGCCATACTCCTTCTAAAAGTAATCTAATTAGTAATCAGATTTCTTTATTTTAAAAGTAATTCAATTATTTATTATTACTGTAACTTACTTGGAAAATGGGAAAAATGGGAAACTTACAGCTCAGGAACCAACTCCTAATTTCAGTGTTAGAACCTAATTTCAAGCAGAGGGGTCAGGCACAGTTCTTCATAAACTTATTTTGTAGCCTCTTATTTTGGTTCAGAATCAGAATCAGATTAGTTTTATAGCTGTATACTGTATTTGTTTTACGACATGGTTCCATTATATGGATTTGCCAAGGCTTTTTGGTAGGTTGACTAAAAGTGACTAGAGCAAAGAACTGTAATCTAATAAATACCAAATTTCCAAATGTAATTTACATTACTACGTTATTTTAAAAGTAATATGAATACAGTAATCCCTTACATCGTAACTATAGTTACTGCCTTCTGCACTGCTCATGTAGAGCATCTAGTAGTGAAGTAGGCCTATGCTTTTAACTTTCCATGAAATCGTGTAGGGCCACTACCAGAATGTTTCAATAGCCCATAGGCTATGTTTGAACCATTAGCCTACTTAATTTGTTTTAAAAAAAAAGTTGTGACATTGAAATGGCTTTTATGTTAAAGGAACCGGAAGAGGAAAAAGCTGGGATTAGTGTTCAACTCGATATCATGGAAGTATCCATGGGAAGCACCAGCCTCAATGCTGCATATATAGGATAGGCTCTAACCTAAACTATAACCGACTTTGAAAATTACCTTAGGGCGAATAAAACTTGAATAGTAAGTTCCCATTCGTGTTGTGCTGATGCACAAAAGAGCTTGTATATAGAGAGAAAGCGCTGTGTGCTATCTGTTGAAGCCGAGCAGCACCCACCATCTGTGGAAGTGGGACAAGCGAACAGATGGTACCCGCGAGCTGTCGGCTTAAGCGCCGCGCATTGGAGGCTCCGTGAAAAAGATGAGTAGGCTATAGGCTGTTATTTGTCTATCAAGTTCTGGTGTATTTGCCTGCATCTTTTCAACCATGACAAAGCGAATTTGAAGAATTAGGCTTGGAAAATACAGTCTCGGTTTTGCAGAATATTACGACTCGACTCCTGTTCCCATATTAATTCCGTTAGACGTGCTGGTGGATTGATGAATAATGGTTGACAACCGTTTCGCCACCGCTTTGGTCATCGCCTGTGTGCTCAGCCTCCTGGCCACCGTGTATCTGTCTGTGGCCATCGGGACCCAGCACTGGTACCAGTACAGCAGCCCCACGGTGCGCGGCGAAGCAAACGCATCTGACCTGCGCTCTCTCTACGAAGAGTTCATGGATGGAGAGTTTGACGAGAAAACGTACAGTGACACGCTTTTCCGCCTGAACGGAACAGTGGGCCTCTGGTGGCGGTGCGTTTTGGTGCCAGCCAACGCTCAGTGGTACAAGGATCCAGGTAGGCTACGTTTTGGACGCAATATCCTGGCATAGGATAATAAACTTTATTTTTAGATGTAGCCTATATTAGTGACAGATTGTAGGCTACTCAAGTGCCTGAGAGGAGGCCTACAGTTACGTTAGGTCCTACTTCAAATAGGAGTAGCCTACAAAGTATTGGTCCAAGGAAATTTCTCAAAATAAACAGTAAGTAGTGTTGTACTCTATTTGGGGAAAGAGCCTAATAGGCACTGAAGTGGTAGCCTTATTTAGTTCCCAATGAAAGGACAAAATACTGATATGCACAAAATCTGAATGGATAGGCCACAAAATAAGAAAACACATCGGGTAGGCCTATAGGAGCAGCTCAAACCATTACATACAATCAACATAAAGGATTTATAACCTAATGGTAGACCCACAGTGGAAACTGGAAGAGGATCCAGTCTATAGGCTTCTCACGTAGGAGTAAAAGTATGTACTTGGAAACTTCTCAGAGAAGTAAATATAGGTTACTTTGAGTAGCCTAAATGTAGGCTAATTATAGGTTACCCTCTGTTGGCTGTAGGCCTGTTTAATGACCTGATGCCAAGCTGCAGTCTAGTCTACCAATCAGTTCACCAATATTCGGGAAGCTACTGTAAGAGTAATAAGGTCATTACTTGTTAGGTTACTTAAAAAAATGCAAATGCCTATAGGTCTATTAGTCCTGCAATATACAAATAAATAAATAAATGAGCCATTTAAAGCATCAGCAATGCAAAGCATAGGGTAACTTTATATAGAGGTGGCACATCATCTCATCTGCATGATTCTGTTAAAATGGAACCCACATACTTCAGAACATGCTCTGTGATGATGGATGCGATGCCATCCTGGAGAATATTATAGCCCAAGAAACCAGCAGGAGGAGACCCTTGCCTAGATGAAGTAAGAGTCAGGTTTGTGGTGATGCAATCCTGCTCGCTATAGTCACACTTGTGGCTGTAAATTTAGCGAGGGGAGGGTCTAGAGATGGTGTTGCTTTGTGTGGCATGTTTTATTATTTAGTGAAGGAACACCACTCCGTACTGTGTGTTAAAACTACATAAAGCATAACTCCATGTTGTTTAGTGCTTCCATATATGTCTTTGATGTGACCTCTTTCAGATACCAAGTTTGTCCTGGAGTGCCGAAGCTTCACTCTCTCTCAGCAGTTTATACCCAAGTACAAAGAACCAGGCAATCACAACAGTGGAGAAGACCTGCTGCGTACCTGTAAGTCTGTCATGTCTCATAATATAAAACAGCTTGTGTCATTTAAAGAATAAAGTAAAGTGGTTGAATTACAAGTTGGCAGACATATTGCTTGTGCTTCTACTGTGTAGACCTGTGGAGGTGCCAGTTCCTGCTTCCTCTGGTGTCTCTGGGTCTGATAGTGTTGGCAGCGCTCATTGGGTTCTGTGCTTGTCTGTGCCGAAGCCTCACCCCAACCCTGGCCATAGGAGTATTTCACTTAATTGCCGGTAAGATCAAAATATTTTGCTTTGGTTTTCTTTATGAAGCAAATTTGTGAGCAAAATGTGGTCATTTTATTTGAGGACTACCAAAAGGAAGAATTAATTCAAGATAATGTGAAATAATGCAGTGTTTTTTCTTCCAATGCCAGTCGTCACCAGTCTCATCTGTCTATCATGTTATTTCACAACACTGTAAAATAATGATGCATTTGAGTCAATGCTTTTATGGACACTCAAAGACACTTTACATTGCATTACTGGTGGTGCTGAGCAACCACTGTAGCCACAGCTGCCCCGGGGCAGACTCTTACAACATTATACAGTATATCCATAAATGTTTGAACTGATCCTGCACCACAATAAACAATAGTCAGACTATAGAAATGTGCTCTAAATCGGGGGAAAAAGGAAAAGCCAAATATGATGATTACCCTAACCCCGATTTCAAGATAATTTTGTTCAAAGTAAGAAAATTATTACTGAACAATTTCTTACCCATGGTGTTAAACCTTTCTATCTTCATGGAGACCAAACCAGACCAAGTTACAGGTCAGATCTGTGGAGAGGCGGCCCCGCTCACAGTCAGAATACCTGTTTTTCTAGGTATTCATGAGCTATAAAACCACCTGTAATTGAATAAATGTAATGTAGATCTGTGTAATATCATACTGTGGAACATTTCAGGGAGAGCAATGACATATCCATAGAAACAAGCAGGTGACAGGGCTTCAACCAAAAAGTTACATAGTGCATATTTTTTCTGTATCGTAACATTTGTTTTTAGGCTTTGAACACAGGCCTGAACATTTTTTATATTTTAATTATACTAACAATCATTATGATCTCCAATCTAAACTCATATCCTTCTTGTTCTTAAGGTCTGTGTACTTTGGCCACAGTGTGCTGCTATCTGGCTGGAATGGATCTACTTCACCGTGTATCAATGCTTCCAGATAAGGTGGATGGGGCCTTAGGTTGGTCCTTGTATTTGGCCCTGATTTCCTCCCCTCTCCACATGATGTCTGCTGCTCTGCTGGTGTGGGCTGCGCGAAGCCACAGTCAAAACTACTACCGGATGACTGCCTACAGGGTTGCATAGAGTTATTCACACAGCTTACCTTCTATAATTTAATACCCCACTTCCATACCAAGATGCAGTTGAAAACGATGTCACAGCAGCGGGATGTGGGTTAATCTCTGTGTTGTGCCCCCTAATGGATTAAAGTGAACGTTGAGCGCGCGGAACAACTGTGCCACCATAATAAGTAAGCATAAGTATTGATCAGCAAAAGCCTTAATCATTTCTAGTACAGTTTCATTTCATTTGATTGTATGCTGTACTTCAATGAAAAGCACACGTATGACCACTGACAGGAGCCTGTGTGGAGACGGTGTGGTATATAGCAAGCAACGTGTGACCATTTTTGCACTAAAAATGATACAGTATATTGGTGGTTTGAGTACAAATGGGACTGAACACAATCTACTTTCTTTTTTTTTTTTGCTTCTAAACTGTGTATGTGGTACCTAGTAAATCTTTTTTGCCATTTCAGTCCAAAAAATTTCATTTACAGTGTCAAATACAAAAAAAAAAAACACAATAAATCAGCTGTAAATTAGTGTTCAAATTCAAATGGAAAAGTCAAATATGATGATTAGCATGAACTCTCATTTCAATCTAATTGTGACTATAAAAAAAGCTGAGGCATTCAAGAAGATTCTGAAAATCCTTTATTACCACATGGCAAAGAAGGATAAAAAGACACATTGAAAGACACTTTTGCACAATCTCTACATATCCATGGACCAGTCCTGCTTTCTAACGTTTTGCTTAATTTACAGTTTGTATGAAACTGAGTGTGCTGCAGCTTTTGGTCACTACATATAGGCCTGTGATATCTATTTGATTGACTCTGCTCCTCCTCACTCTCCCTTGTAGTCCTCTAGGTACTGCTAGTTCAGTAGCTCATTTCACTGTGGCTGTAGTTATGGCAAGAATACTGGGCCAGACCGTATTCTTACTATACTTCTATACTTTTCTTGTAGTATTTTTCTGGTTGGTAGTGATCCAAATTGGTCCTATACGAAGTGACACTTTGAACATATAGGGGCTTGAAGGCTTATTGCTTTGTCTGGAATGTTTCACAGTATGGTATTAAAACTTTCGATCTTCATGGAGACCAAATCAAACCAAGGGACAAGTCAGAGCTGTGGAGAGGCAACCCCACTGAGTCAGAATGCCTGTTTTTCTAGGTATTTATGAGTTTGTATTGCATTTTAGAATGAAATATGCAAGGGTACTTCACAAATGTTGAACTTAATGATTGCTGTTGCATGACTAGACCCAAGAATTCACTGTGTTGCAACAAAAATCTGCATTATAACAACATAAATTTGATATTCCCCCATCTGTATTAACATTATTAGCCTATAATGGGTTTCAACTTCCAGTTCCAAATGACATTGTGAGGACATTTTCCAATACACAATTTTATTTTAAAGGTCCCATATTACACAAAATTGCCTCTTGTGAGCTTTAAGACAAGTTAAAATGTTGTTACCTCCTCAAGAAAACATACCTGGAGTTGTTTTTTTGTTTGTCTTAAAATGCTGTTCCACCTTGTGATGTCATGAAGCGGTGGTTTTCAAGTTAACAGCTACATTTTACCTTTAGTTCAGGAGAGACTGGCAATTCCAAAGCTGAAATTATCAATTGATTTTACTGAAGCACTTCCTGTGTAACCCTAACCCACATGACATCACAAGGTGGATCAGAATGTTCTCTGTCTGAGAGAAAAACAGAGCCTAAATATGCAGGGTTTGTGTGTTAAACGTGTGAATGAAACAAAACACAACCAGGTATGTTTTTGATGAGGAAAATGGTAGTATGGGCCCTTTAAAAAATTGTTAATTGCTACGCCAACTGTCCTAATTTTGCAACGTCATCTGAAACCCAGAAATACAGAATCACTAACTGGCGTGTATCCATCCCAGTTATGAATACGCAGTAAACCGTATGCCCGAGCAGTTCACATTGTGTATTTTGATGTTAAGTGAAGAGGGAAAAACAAGATGCCCGGGTTAATGCTTGGTGGCACCTGTATTGGACACACCCATCCCCACTGTTTTTTTAGGCAATCTCAGCTACTGATGTGAGATATTTTTATTTTCAGTTGTGCAAGAGGTCTTTTGTGTCAGGTGTCTTTGAGATAATGGAGCAGTCGATGGAATCTGGGAGTGGTTTTGATACGTCAATGATATCTGTGCAGTGGCATCTTGTTGTTAACATTGTTTTATCATTGTTTTGCTTTTATATTAATCATTACTTTTGTAGCTTTTTATATTTATTATTTTAGTATTACAAGTAGGTGTATGCTGTTTTCTTTCGTTTATACTCACTTATGTTACTGTACTGTATGTAAATTGTGTTATTTACTGTATTTATTTATTTGTTTTATTTCAGAAGATAATTTTTCACGTTGCAAATCTCCAATTTTAGCAGGATGTCAAACAAAACAAGTCCTGACGGCGCATCATGAATGTACTTTGAAGGCCATATTGCGAAAAGCTTCCTTTGCACTTAAATCTTTTTTGAATATATCATGACTATTTCTGTAGTTGCTGATAGTGAATTTCTATTTTTGACCCCAGTGAAGTATATTTATATGAAATATGTCCAAACTGACAAAATGTTTTAACTGTAGTTCACAGAATGTTATTTTACATATAATAATAAGGCTTTGTTTATTCAGTGTGTGACAATCCAAATGTAAAGCTTTTTGTGAATGCTTTGTGAATATATGAACAAGAATACAACAAGAATTAAAATATGCAATGAGACTCGTTAATTTCAAATTTTGTAAAAATTTATTGCAATCTTTGGTTTCTGACCTTTGTTTTCAGGACACTGTCACGAGCATTTTCTGTCAAAGCTTGTTGCTCTGGTCCTGATGCATCCAGACAGTGGGAACTTTTACACACCTCTTTCTTGACAAAGAGAAAGCAATGCCTTTTTCATAGTAGGCACACTCGTTTATGAAGAAAGGATAGAGAGATTCACTCCCATTGTATGTTGTAGTTTCACCTGAGAAAGTCTGGAAAACAGGGTCTCCAGGATTGAGAAGGCAGAAGTCCTTATCCTTAAAAGCAAAAGCCACTATTACTTACATCATACAGTATTATAGTCCCATCTATTAGCCCTGCTTTTTATGAAGGCTATGAATAGTTCTCTGATATTTTTACAATGAAGGCATAAGATCACATCTTACACAATTCCCCAGAAGCTACAAAGCACTTCCTATTTAGACAAAGACTTGATTTTTGTTTGTTCTTAGCCATGCACATGACCTTAAACTTGTACCTGTGTCTTCAAGTACAACACACATTGACTCTTGTCTAATCTCAAATCTCCAATATCAAGATGCTGTTTTCTCATCAAAAACTTGGACTTGTTTTTGTTTTTTCATTCACATCTGGAACACACAAATCCTGCATATTTCAGCTGAGTTTTTCTCTCAAACTGAAAACACCACCTTATGATATTATATGGTAATACAGGAGGTGCTCCACTGGGATTACAATCATTTGGATAATTTCAACCCTTAAATTAGCCATCTCTACTGAACAAAAGGTAAATTGTAGTTGTTTTTTATCTGAAAACTACTACTTCATGACATCACAAGGTGGAACAGAGCATTTTGAGCTTTGGAGATGTAGACAGACTAATATTAAAGGATTATACAAACTGAAAGAAACAAAACACAACTTCAAGAATGTTTTTGAGAAGATAACGTTATAACATGACTTAAAACTCGCATGAGTCAATTTTGTATAATATAATATTATTCCCTTTTTAATTACCTATTATTACCATCATTATGTATGCTTGCTGCACCTGCGTCACACCTTTTGATAAATTTAAAAATAGATTTGAGACTGCCACTGAATGAAGTCTCGATCTCAAATCTCAGTCTCAAACATTCAATGACAAATGTCCTTCTTGACAACGGACTGATTAAATTGATAAACCTGCATAACAAAACAACAGGAAGACCAGACATTTGCAATGCGGAACATTCTTTCAAGCACCTTTTAATAGAATTTCACCTGTGAAGATGCTCACAAGCTACGTCAGAAGTCCTTATGACACTATGTGCGTAATATGGTTATGTAAAGATAAACTGGCTGCACAAAATTTTATACAGTAATAATTTCACAAGATGATATTGCAATAGCTGTGCATGTGATACTTCACATAACAAGAACTGGTACTTCCTGGAGCCAGTTTCTCACATACAAAGAATTTCCCAATACACAACTTACATTGAATATGCTTATAATTATAGTGTGTTCTCCAGGAATGAAAATCTTGTTAACATAGACGGATAATAATGTGTTATTAAAATTTGAATAAAATTAAAGGTATGTTAAGATAATGTTGTATTAGGATTGTTAATATTACTGACTACTGACACACAGACACGTTAGTTCATCTTCATATTCTGAGAGTATCTTCAAGTATAAAGGAGTGTTTTGGTTTCTATAGATCAGTGTTTTCAGGAAACACCAAAACAAACACAAAGTTTACAGTTAATGTGATGCTTCTGTTTGGAGAATAAACTTGTAAATGTTTGTTTGTATTTGTATTGTTACCTTGGCTTTAGGGGATTAATTTGAATCCCTTTTACATTATTTATTTGAAAAGATTAATTTTAAATCCTTTTAATGTTTAGTTCTCACCTGGAGTTGCGGATGAATGGCAGCTATAACATCATGAGTATTACAGTCTCGTGGGTAGTCTATGTGTTTTACCAGAGTGAACACATCAACAGGTCCTCCTTCAAAAACTGTTCCTGGAGCAAAAATGAAAAGCTCTAGTTCCAGCAGAAAATCTAACTTTTATAACGTTAACTTACCTGAGTTAAATAAACGGACCCAGTCAAGCATGTGCTCTACTGCATCTTTCATTGTTGTGTAGACATTGGACCTCACTACACCATGGGGCTGGGGGCCGATTTCTATTGCTATAAAAATACACAGAGGAGAAGTTACAAAACACAAGAAATGTAAATATCTTTCTATCAATGATGCTGCAGAAGTGATGACAGACTTATGGAAGTAACTGCTGGTTAAACAATTAAGTGCTTGGGACTCCTTGTGGTGGTTTAGAGGTCCTATATTACACAAAATTGAGTCTTGTGAGCTTCAAGCCACGTTATAATGTTGTAACCTCATCAAAAACATACCTGGAGTTGTGTTTTGTTTCATTCACACATGTTTGAGTAACCCTTTATTATTAGTCTGTCTACATCTCCAAAGCTCAAAATGCTCTGTTCCATCTTGTGATGTCATGAACCTGTAGTTTATTTAGTTTTTTAGTAAATTTTTACCTTTAGTTCAGTAGAGTTTGGTAAGTCTAAATGTCTAGTGAAGGTTTAAAACAGTGAAGCACTTCCTGTCATACCACAGGACATAACAAGGTGCGAGGTGTGTGTGTGTTAAATGTGTGAAGGAAACAAAACATAACTCCAGGTTTGTTTGTCATGAGGAAACAACGATATAAGATAGATCAGAAAATAGCGTAATATGGGTTATCTCCATGAGCTTTTTCAGTTAATAGGCAAACAATAACAAAATAATTACTTAATAATAATTAGCATCATAAAAACTTAACTATGCCTTCATTATTTGATCTAGCTTTTCATTTGGTACTTTGTAGATTAACTTTTATGAAATTTTTAAAAGAGAGAATAAAATAACACATACCAAAACCATGTTTGCCTACTGAATCCAGAGAGTAAGATTCATCCGATGGCAGATCAAAATGAATGTATCTCATTGGTATATCGGGAATACACTGCTGTAATTGAGACACAAGAAGTCATGGCTTACATGGTAGGCTCTGTATTTTCCCCCTGTCTCCTTTCACTTGCCTGTAGATGTTTAAATATGTGCATGGAAATCCAGTCTGAATCTGAAAAAGAGATTAAACAAAGCCCCATATTGGCTGTGGTGTTGTGAAGGTCGCATACAAGGTCCACAGAGTCTGGGCTGCCTTTGGGACCAAGCTGAGTATTGAGTTCGTGGGCCCTGATTACTTCATATGGAGTACTATCGGATAAAGGAGAGCTGGAAAACAGAAGGAAAGAAAATTTGTGCTTTACGACTACTGCTGGTACTGCTGTTACTACGAGAGAGCAGGAACGTTAAGGCAAACCTATAAGTCTCAGTTGTGAGAATGTCATGAATGAAGCCCATTGAAGCCAAACACACTGTAGCTGTTTACAATATAACTGAACTGCCCTAAGGTGTCATCTGTCACCAGAGTTGTGACTTGCTTTGGTGGATTCAAAGATCATGTGAAATTCTGTTTTAAAATGTAAAAGATCTGTGCTTCAGTAGTGCTTAGTTAAAGAGCCCATATTACACTATTTTCTCATCTATGTTATGATGTTGTTTCCTCATCAAAACCTGAAGTTGTGTTTTGTTTCATTCACACATGTTTATTCAGGCTGAGTTATTCTCTCAAACAGAAAACACTCTGTTCCACCTTGTGGTGCTCCACTATGTTTTCAAACTCCATACAACTTCACTAGAATATTTGGAAAATTTCAGACCTGGAATTACTAGTCTCTACTGAACTAAAGGTAAAAGGAGCTGTTAACTTGAAAATTACAGTGTTATGACATCACTAGGTGGAACAGAGCATTTGAGCTTTTGAGATATAGACAGACTAATAAACCAGGATTACTCAAACATGTGTGAATGAAACAAAACACAATTCCAGGTAGCCTATGTTTCTTATGAGATATACATTCTAAAATGCCTTAAAGCTCACAAGAGTCAGTTTTGAGCAATATAGGACCTTTAAAGTTTAATAATATCTTAATAAACATTTAATTTAGGCTACTTTGGTGTCAAGATGTTATGGGAAAATGTTGTATGTAAAGCTATTGTCTTACTTCAGGGCGTCGTGTGAGAAGCAGCGGTTCAGGTCCACCTCTATGTATCTAAGGCACTTCTGCGTGGCTCTAGGGTTGGACAACACAAGGATGGGCTGGTTTCTATCTTCATCATCTTCCTGTGGTCTCCTCTTCATCAGCTCTTTGACTAAATAGACCCCTGACAGTTCGTTCCCATGGGTCCCTCCACACACAGCCACACGGGACAGCTTCGGCAGACACACGCACTCCTGTTTATCCATCTGGGTGAGATACAGAGTTTAAAGAGCCCATGTTATGCTATTTTCTGATATGTTACAATGTTGTTTCTGCATCACAAACATACCTGGACTTGCGTTTTGTTTTTCTTTCACACAAACACTGTATATTTGGGATAAGTTTTTCTCTCAAACAGAAAACACTCTGTTCCACCTTGTGATGTTAATACAGGAAGTGTTCCACCGTTTTTAAACTCCATACATCTTCACTAGAATCATTTGGATGATTTCAGCCGTAGAATTACATTTCTCTACTGAACAAAAGATAAAAGGTAGCCCTTAACTTGAAAACTACCACTTCATGACATCACAAGGTAGAACAAGGTTCAATTTTTTATGTATTCATAAGGTGGAGGCTTTAATATAAGCCCTGTTGGGTTTTTTGCACCTACTTTTTTAATCTAGTGTGTTTTTTTAATTGGTATGTTATACGTGCAAAATAAATACATAAATAAATAACAGGGCATTTTGAGCTTTGGAGATGTTGACAGACTGATAATAATGGATTACTCAAACATGTGCGAATGAAACAGAATACAACTCCACGTATGTTTTTGGTGAGTCAATTTTGTGTAATATGGGACCTTTAAGGACGGGTTCACACTTGCCCTGGTTTTGGCCCAGTTTAAGCTGTAATGTACTTGTTTGTGGTGATTATGTAAGTGTGAACTCACGCAAAGATCAAAGCGTGGATGGCCTTTAAATATAAGAGTCAAAGGTTTTATTGACACTGACAGTTAACAGACTTCACAAACATGGAACATCCTTCGGTGTTAGGGGGCAACAACCTATTGAAATGCAAATGTCAGCATGGCAAGAAACAGGCTAAATAGATGTCACTGTAATGGGTATCGGTCTACATCAAAACCATGTCCTCTCAATGTGGATGTAACAATAACCAAATTATTGTGATATCGTATCGTCAAAAGTCTCACAATATATCGAATTACAAGTTCCTTTGCTTAATTAAATGCATGGTTTTACAGTAGCAACAGCTTATAATCATTGGAAACTACATATCCCATGATTCATTTCAGTGTAGACAACATGAAGAAATGTGTTTTTTACTTGAATTCTTGGGATTATGACGGAAAAAATTAACACCAAAATCTTGTCAAGCTATTTTAAAAGCAAAAAAAGCGTCCAAAATATCGCAATAAATATCGTATCGAGAGATTTGGTTATTGTTACATCCCTACCTCTCAATGTTCATGGCGGGAAGCTTTTGAGACATTTTCAATTAGATCTCTGGATTAGTTTAGGTGAGGTTTTTGGCAACATATTAAATAGACAATTAAAGGTGCGCTATGTAACTTTTTGCCTGGGGGTCTGTTACTTACTTGTTTCTATGGACACATCATTGCTCTGCCTGGAATGTTCCTTAGTATGACATTAAATAGCTTTACCTTGCATTTATTAAATTATAGGTGGGTTTGTAGCTCAAAAACACAGAGAAAAACAGGCATTCTGACTGTGAACGGGGTCACCTCTCCACGGATCTAACCTGTAACTTGGTCTGGTTTGGTCTCCATGAAGATAAAAAGCATTTGACGGACCCTCCAGTAGAAAAGTTACACAATGCACCTTTATGTTTGCCTGCTCACTCATTTGTAACTCATTTGTAAAGGGATGTAGCAAACACTGCAACAACAAGAGGGCTATTGATTTGAAACCTTACCTCCGATTCTTGGCTAGCTCTGCAGGTCTGTAATGCCGTCCAGATGTTCCAGTGACAATTTCATAGAATCTAAAGGAAGAAATTATATTAATGTTATTAGAATCAGAAATCTCTTCAGAAAAAAACAGTAAGGTTCAGCAGATGTTACCTAGTCTGGCCTCTCCTGGTTTTTATTTCCACTGATTCAGCATTCCTGTCTTTCTTGGGACCCTTCAGCCCTCCACTGCACTGCGCTATACAGTTGTTTGTTGAAGAGGAAGGGAGTGTCCCAACTTCAAAACGGAGTCCCAGGTCAAACCCCCTCCCCCAGTCCCCTCCCTCAGCCCCCTCCATCTCTTTCCCGTCCATCCACCAGCAGAGTGTATGGGATAGTAGGTTCCAGTGTAGCCTTTAGAAATTTGACTAAAAATACATTTGCTGGCATGACATAGCAAGCAGGATATGTGAAAGAAAGAGCTCTTCTGGCAGGGAGTTGAAAGCAAAACAATTGATATTTTTTTCAGTGTTGTTCACTTGTTTGAAGTTAATATAAGATTTACAATACTTATAATTAAAAGCCTACAGTATAAACAAGTTAGTTTGTTTCTATTATGACTGTAGGTTATGTATGAATAATAATGTAGTCATCAAAAATAAACTGTGCTACAAGATTGTATACTCTACAAACAAAAGAAAAAGCAGGTACACTGTGACAGTTAAGCTGCTATTAAAAGAACAATACTGCTACTACTCAAAGCTTCAGACAACAATCTCTTTTATTATAATCAAGTTGGTAGGTACTGCATGTCCCTTTTTAACTCAAAGAATGACCTGAGAGTAAAATATAATACACAATTCTATGCATAATCCATACTTATCTACAATGTTCTTAAATTTTTTATTTATTCTTCATTTTAAGTACACTTACAAACAAAAGTCTGACACACACACACTCACCCACTCCTGCTTTTTGGTGTCAAAATGTACTTGCATAACTCAAAATTTACTGTGGTGTGACAATGATTTTGCATGTTAGTGAATGCTGAATTTCTTGTGTATCACGAAACACCAAAATCTCACCAGGAATCCCATGAAACTGTAAAAGCCTGAATGATTATTTCACAAAAGGGTCAACTCTCCCAGCAGTTAATGAAGAGTTAAGTGTCTAAAAATTGCACTAATGTGAGTATTTCTTTTTCTTCACACTGTACATTTGTGATGTCAAATAAAACAGCCTTTGCATCTTTCTCGTTGCCAAGGCAAAGAAAAGGCTACCAGGATTAAAAACAACATATTTCATCATAGTAATTTCCTTTTTTTCGAGGCCTTGATAAAAGAAAGTATAATATAATAAAACAAACATGGTCAACCAGTTGGAAAACATAAAAAAAAAAAAAAAAAAAAACACACCCAACTCAAATTGTACGGTTATGGAAGCGCAGATATGCTTCATACCTGTCCAACCTGCAGTTCATTAAATTAAGACACAAAATCAAAAATCAGCATTACATATTTGCTAATGTCTTGAAGGCCACTGGCTGACAATTGCATGTGTTATTAGAATAGTGTCCCACATAAAGAAAGAGATTTATACAAAGAACTACATAATGGAAATGTCAATATACAGCATTACAGAAGTTTACGCACACAGTGAAATATCCATTTTGAATTTGGGGATGCACTGTTTTGGATACTGGTATTGAAAATCAGTACCAATACTGAAAACATGGTTCAGATATGAGTTCCATGATACTGGTAAAGCAGATATCCTGTTTGGGCCTTTAACTGGATGTAGACTATTTACAGGCGGATTTTGGCTTAGAACATAATAATAATGTTTGATCTTTAATTCATATAAAGCTGTTGAGACGTTATTTGAAACATAAATAACAGTCACATAAAACAGTTGGATCATTTGTGTAATATGTTAACTGTGTTTCAAGAAAATAAGTGACATTTTCTTATCGATCGATACCAGTGTAGGGATACACTGGTATCGATTAATATTGAGTATTGGCAGATTTAAAGTAGTCAAAGTAGTCAAAGTATCAATATCGGTATCAGAACTGAAAAGCTGGATTGGTGCATCCCCATTTAAATTAATATTTTGGTCTATAGTTAATAGAAGCCGATATTCACCTTCCAAAAAACATAAATTTGTAACTTGAATACAATTAAAAGTGCACTTAATATTTCATTCTGTGCATGTTTTTTGAATGTTAATGACTTCCAACATAATCTCTTTAACTGAAGTGGGACTCTACACTAGATATAGAATTAAAATATAAATCCATTTATCATAAAATAATTATTATCAACATAAGAACAAACATGATGTGAGGGTCGATACACAGACTCACAACAGTGGAAAAAGACACAGTTCCACTCTTCATCTGGAAAATGTGAGCAAAACCCAAGAAAGAGTTTGAAATCGCAATCTCGCCTAAAACAGTCCGATTCTCTGATGTGCAGCAGCAAAAGGAGGTGGAGAGTAAGACACTGTGGAAGAGTATGGGACAGAGAGGGGAAAGGCTTGGAGTTACAGTAGCCAGTTGGTTTATTTTGTGTGGATGGACCAGCAGTGATGGGGCCCTGGCTTTAAGATGGCCGCCCCAGGAAGCTCTATTGTAGCTTCGATGTCCAGTCTCTTGTGGGCACTTAGCGTAATGTGACTTAGGTCAAAATATATCAGGGCATCCCTCCCAGCTGCTTCGCTCCTTCGCCTCCCAGTAGCCTCCTTTGTAGATGTGAACTGGCTCACCGTTAATGGGATCATCGCATCGCTCAAACCAAAGTGCCTTGTAGTTGTCGTGAGGGGCGTCTGGAAGGAGACAGACTTCAGTTACTAAAAACAGTCGAAGGTGGTGGTTTATTAAAACGATGAATTGATGAGTGAAAGTGAGAAATACTTGCATTTTAAAGATGAATCATTTAATATGTCCTCATCGATAGCTTTAAGGGAAAAAGGGACCAGAGACAATTTTTTTTACCCCTTAGATTAAAAATGTTCCCCATGAAAGAAAAGGGCTGCACAATATTGGAGGTGGTACTCGACTTTTTAAATGTAAAGTATGTGTTGTGTATGTAACACAGTAAAAAGTGTTGCTCATAGACACAACAACAGAATGGAGCCATTGCCAATTCAAACTGAGGTGATGCCCTTCCCGCTTAATACATTATTGTGTTAAAGGTCGTATATTACACAAAATTGACTTGTGAGCTTTAAGCCATGTTATAATGTTGTCATCCAAAACACACCTTGAGTTGTGTTATGTTTCATTCACACGCTTGAGTAATCCTTTTTTATTAGTCTGTGTACATCTCCAAAACTCGAAATGCTTTGTTACAACTTGTGATGTCATGAACCTTTTGTTCAATAGAGATTGGCAAATGTTTTCCGTTTTAGAGAAGAACTCATCCTAAATATGCAGGGTTTGTGTATTAAACATGTGTGAATGAAACAAAACCCAACTCTCAAGGTATACTGTCTAAAGCAGACTGGGAGAGACTTATCCATGCGTTTGTCTCCAGCAGGTTAGACTCCTGTAACAGACTGCTCACTGGCACCTCTAAATGAGCTGTGAGATGCTGCAGTACATCCAGAACGCTGCAGCTCGGGTCCTGACTTGAACTAGGAAGTAAGAGCACATAAGTCCTGTGCTCAGGTCACTGGCTCCCTGTGGCTCAGAGACTTTAAAGCAGCTGTGTTTGTGTACAAGTCTCTCCATGGCCAAGCACCAAAGTACATCTGTGACATGTCAGTGCCATATGAATCATCTCGCACATTGAGGAGCTCAGGGACCGACCTCCTACTGGTGCCCAGAGTCAGGACTAAACACGGGGAGTCAGCGTTTCAGGTTCATGCAGCTAAAACCTGGAACGGTCTTCCTGGACATGTGAAACACACCTCTACTGGGTTAAACTAAACTGTCTGTTTAGCCGCACATGACTGAAAGGTTTTCATTCCGCACTCTTCTCTCTCATTTAATGTCTGTCTCTCTCTTTTTAATTTTATGATGATTATTTATGTTTTGATTTGTTTTTATTGTGATGTTAATGTATTTCTTCTGTAAAGCACTTTGAATGACTTTGTGTATGAATTGTGCTATACAAATAAACTTGCCTTGCCTCTGGGTATGTTTGTGATGAGGAAACATTATAACATTATAACATACATCAGAAAATAGCGTAATACGGGCTCTTTAATAACAAAATAATGGATTTCTATTATATTGTGCAGCCCTGTCAGAAAAAGAGCAAATATGAAGGATCTTGATGGTACTTACGCTCCCCCTCATCGGATTGGCTGGCTGTGCGCTGGCTCACCGCCTCCCTCTCTCTTTCGCGGCGGGCACTGCGCTGTTTCTCCTCCAGTCTCTGTTTCTCGGAGTTGGCCTCATCCCAGCGGCCATCTTCCATCAGACGCTGGTCGGGGCGGCGTCTGCTGTCGGTAGGAGCCACTCCGTCCTCCATCTCGTTCAGAGTGAGTGCCAATAAAGTGAAGTAGTACATGGTCTCTGCACCCTCACTGCCAACAAGAAACAAGAGGAGATAAGAATACAAGCTCTGAAGCCATTGCAGTATAATTAAAATTCTGTAATATGAGATGCAAAAAAAAAAACATACAGGGTAATACTTCAATGCCTCATAAAGAAGCAAATCTTGAGAATAAGATCAAAACAACTGGACTTATTAAACTTTTTGACTAACACAAAGCCCCGAAGAAGCTACCATGGCTGAAAAAGTTTAGTAAGTCCACTTATAAGTTCTAACAAATTTTGTGATAAAATGTTTCATCTATTAGATTGATATTTTTATGACATATTTGAAACTTTTATTTCAAGTCATCAGAAAGTAGGTACTTACAAACTCATTGTGATGAATAATTGGCATACTATGAATGTGTTAGGAAATGTGGAAGTGCACATAAAATGATGGACAAAAGAAATTAGTTCATCTTAAGACAGTAAAAAACGCTTGAACAAAGAACTCTCCCTCGCTATTATGATAAACTTCCTTTAATTTGTTTATTTAATGAATCACTGTCACTCGGTACAACAAACTTGATTTTCCAGTATGTTCGATAATGCTGTCAGATAAAGGCATCCATTGTTCGGAATGACTAACCATGGTTAATGAGTCAACGTGATAAACAAATGTATAAAAGCAATCATACGGTAATGGGTTTCTCCTCCAAATTTCACGAGCTTTCAGAGTTTGGTAGACGGTCTTCTGTTTGCCCTCAGCACCATTCTCTCCCCCACGGCTGCTCTGCATCACTCTGGAAAACTCCATCTTCTCGTCCCAGGTCCCAGACAGCACGTAGTGAGCCTTTCCGTCTTTGTCCATCACCACCCCAGTTACCTGAAGTAAGCAAAAAAAAAAACAAACACAAAAAACATTTAGTTCCTTCCAGGACATAATCATGACTAATTTCAGGACAGGATGTTTGGTGATTTGCAGATTACTGTAATATATGCCAATCAGGCCAAGTAAGCCCTATAATTACTATATCGACTTAGGAAAAATACGAAAACTGGAACTATATATATATTCTACATCAGTGTTCATCATGTTTACGGTACTTTCTGAATTAATAACATCTTTCAGCCCATGATTTTTTTTTACAATATTGTACATTTAGAATAGTTTTGTGGTTTAAATCTGCTCTCGGATTATTGTGTCAGTGGCATCGAGTATCATCATTTATCGTCTATATTTACTTCAGCAATATATCACGTTTCAAAATATGTTATCATGACAGGCCTAATGCCAAGTAACATCTGTGGTAGATTAATCCAACTTTTTAAGCACATGTTTTTAAAGGATTGTACAGGTTAATAAAATTGCATAACAAAACCTGGCTCGTGTCCTCCATTTGCCTCTTCTCTCTGGCATTCAGTACTCGTTATACAGGATATCTTGGTGTTTCATTGTAGCTTTCCCATGTATTTTTTTGTTTTTCAGATTCTGTTGACTTTTATGTGAAGCACTTTGGTCAGCTGAAGTTGTTTTTAAAAAGTGCACTATGTAACGTTTTTAGTCTCAGTGGAGATATTACTGGTTTGCTTGGATTGTTCCACAGTATGGTACTATTAATTTCGATGTATTAGATCACTGGTGTTTATATATATCAAAATGCCTTGAAAAATAATGCATTAGTATTGTGAGCAGGGTCACCTTGCTACAGATCTGACCGGTAATTTGCCCCATTGATATCACCTACTTGTCTTCACAGAGATAGGTAAGTTTAATGCCATATGATGGGACATTCTAGACAAAGCACTAATGTTGGAGACAAGATGGTCATGGACCCAACTCCTGGCAAGTTACACAGTACACCTTTAAATGTGAACTGAATATTGCTGTCATGATGCATTTGCGAATGATACCAAATTTTGAATATCATAATGAATTTGTACATAATCTGTAATAGATTTCCCTCTCAGTTATGAAAGAGGGTTGACCAAGATGGTGGCTACTACTAATTCATTGACCGATTTTAACCCTGACTGGGGAGTAAACACTGTAAAGATATAAGAGATAAAATGTAAGCACAACTTGTTTCGAGCTATTTTAGTTTCAGTTTCATGTAGTTGCCAATATAAATTACACTGAATCAGCCACAAGCACATATTTAAATGAATTAAAATCACTGACATAAATTAGCTCATTGATAGCGATTAAACTTTTAGGACTTAAACGCCTGGGCTAATGAAGTCAACCCCACTATGCAAGGTGTATAACAAACTTGTCGCCGTGGGAATGCCTTTTAACTATTTACACTGAAAACAAGTTGTACAAGAGAACAGTGCAGCATGCCCACCTTTCTGGCCACATCTCTGGAGAAGTAGCTATAAGGAGCAAACTTGAGATGGCAACGGTCTCCAGTTGTGTGATTTACAACGTCAATTTCTCCAGACTGTGAGAAATATCAAAACATTACAACACGAAACCACCAGACTGAATGAGAAAGGAGAATTTGAACTGCAGTTTACCTGATCGATCCACAGTTTTCCTACAATAATGTTATGCACTGTAGTTGTTACTTTTTTCCATGTGTAGTGATTGTTGCCTTTTTCAAATATCGCATGAATAGTTCCTACAAACAGAAGATGAATATGACATGAAAAACCAGAACAGAGTGTACCTGTCTGTTATTTTAGCAGTCTAATCCATTTAAGCCATAGCTAACCAAACAGTTAAAGCAGTTATTTATTCACTTACTTATTTACTTTCACATGTTCAAAACCTTTATTTTAGGTAACTGGTCACTGAATTGTTTTGTAACCTACCTAATGGCATAATGGAGAGATATTTGCCCCTGAACTTGCTGGCCACTGTAATTTCCTGCCTCAGTGTCCATCCACGATCAGAAATGGCATGATGAGCAGCTGCAGGTGGGTGGTGGCTCACCTGGTTACAAAAACATTGTACAAAGATTTACAATAAATCAGATCTACAAAGCAAAATAAACAAAATCAGTAGGACATTTTTTCTGTCTTCTTGAGAAAATACTGTGCTATAATTAGACATAAGCAAGTAACAAGTCCATCTTCTTGTAACAGCTTATAATTTTTATGACATACTGCCCTTTACTGGTGAAAATACTGAAGGCATAGCTCTCTATTGACTTAATTTGCTGTCATATTTGCTTTTAAATTTATCAGTGAACAAAACAAAGTAGTTCACTGATTTTACACTTATGATGTGATTATAATATTATAATGTTATGTTATAATACTCTAATAGGTTACATGTATTTTATTTCGTCAATATGGTTTAACTGCCCTGACCCAAAACTCTGAGTAGATTTCACTTGACAAACAAAATTATCTACCAATGGAATAAGTCTTTTTTTCATAATTCAAACATATCTTCAGTGTAACTAGGTGTATTTAACTGTTTCAAGTACAAAAAGACTTGTTCCATTGGTAGATCATTTTGCTTCATGTGAAATTTACTCAAATCAATAAAACATTCTTAATCCAAGTAATTTTAACTTGGTGAGATTTTAGTTTTTGTAGTGTGTACCTGAAGATAAGTTTTGTATCTCTACTAAAGAGGTTTGCATTTTGATGACATCGGCTTGTTTTGGTTCATTTTTCCTGTGGACTGTGGTAAAGGTGGTTATAAGTTCGAATCCATGCAGTTGGAGCTGTAATACAATTTTGATCAACAGTTGTAAAATATAGAGTAACAGTTAATAGTGAAGAAGCCAAAATGGTTGACCTGTGTATTGACCTGTGTATGAATTAGCTGATAAAAAGGGGATGAGACATTGCACTGGCAAAAGCAGTACTTTTAAGTATTTCTATGATCTGACCCACAGAGCATTCACAAGAAAGTTCACAGCTTATGGGTTTAAGCAAAAACAATGATGTAGACAAAGAATTAGAAAACTGTATTTGCATGTAAAAGGGAAGATGACACTGGCAAATCTAACTCACTCTTGTTTCTGTGCTTTCTTTCTGCTGTGCTGCTGCTACATAAGTTCAATTAAAGGACTTGTTAACTAAAAATATGTTAAAAGGTAATGGCTGCAGACCTATAAATAATACGGACGTGTGGCTTAACATGCAATATTAATTCTGCTTCCGTATGTCTGTAAACACTGTCAAGAAGGAATGAGGAATGAATGTCTGATGCATTCCTTCAAATAGGAACAAACTGCGCATTCCATCTCCGTCAAAAGAGGATGTGTTTATATTGGCTGCTTATTGTTTGTTTACTGTGAAACTCGACGATGAAAAGAATGAGCAGGAAATTTTAGGTAAAATCAGGGCAGGGTAAAACTAAGTCAATCAAAGTCCCGTAGTTTTTAAGGTTGCGAGAGAACAAAAGGTGTTGAAGGAGGTTTACCCTGGTATAACCCTGACACAACTGGTGTGCCTTTACTTTGTAGATCATATTGTGAAGTATGAACTGTGTCCAAATAATTTCTCTTGTGGATCAATAAAGTTTCTCTAAGTCTAAGTCTATTATATCAAAGGATTTGTTTCATTTTTCAGACTAAGAACCATCTGCAATTTTCTGATTCTGGAAATGGATGACCATCTCAGTGGAGTGTTTTAAGTCTCGGCTTAAGAACCACTTTTATTCTCTGGCTTTTAACACTGCATGAGCTGCGTGGCCCTCTGTGTTTATGTATTTTATTCATATTTTTATATCTTTTTTTTTTTTTTTTAACTATGTTTTTGACTTAACTTGTTTTGGTGTTTTAGGATTGGCAATGATAAATTGATTATTTATATCCTCTTTTGTTTTTTTTTAATGCCTTTTGTTTTTAATGTTATCTTTATCTGTGCAACACTTTCAAAACTGTTGCTTATAAAATGTGCTACAGAAATAAAATGGATTTGGATTTGCATCGCAGACACTATCCCAACATACATTACAATGGGTGGCACACACACGCGTGATTCAGTGGGTGACCTCTTCAAAGGGGGAAATAGACACCAAAAAGTGCAGACTCAGGGGGATTGTATGAAGCACATCCTTCCTTCATGTTGTGGTGGCGGCTTTCACTTCCTCTGTGTCTCACCTGTTCACAAAGAGACCGGTAGCCATATTCTCTCCTACGGTCCAGCTCGTAGGTCTCTCCCAGCAGGGGGTTGAAGGGCTTTCCTGTGCGGTGAACTGTTGTCGAGTATGAGGACACGGAGAAGGCCGCTACGTAGCACAACTGCTCCAAGGAGCTGTGGCACTTTGCTGCTTTATCCAGCAATTCGTAATATTCAAGATCCTCTGACAACCGTTGCAACATGGAAATTGGCTCATTGAAATTCACCTGAAAAAATTTATGATATGACGATAATTATTACTTGTGTTGTGAAAACACTATTCCAGATATGCTTGTCTATATGATATATGTTGTTAATAACATGTTATCAGCAATGGGTTTCTCGCATTATCGTTCCTGTAAAACGTGACTTTTACAGAATGCAGTCGGCCCCGTATTGCAAGTCAGTGTTTTGATAAAACCTGCGTCAAAGGTACACATCGTCACACAGTCTTTGTTTTAGTCTTATCATGTCAAAACAATTCCAACAGTATCGTCTTCTATAAATATACTTGGAAACTGCATGCCAACATTCAGGGGTGCACCCATGCATCTAAATTCCAGAAAGACAAAAAGGAACACATGAACATGACACTTACAGGCATGGGAATTTTTGATAGCTCTTTGCCAATGCAGTTTTTCATAATGCTCCAGAGGTTAAGAGAATAGTTTGGTTTGTCGGGGATGCGTGTCCTTCTCTTCTTCAGAGGCACCAGCTCCTGTGATGGCTCCTGGCTCATCGTTAGAGGCTCCTCGTTAAGCTATAGAATACATCAGTGTAACTAAAAATCTCTTATCATTAAACAAGTTCATTATAACATATCAAAACAATTCGGTATTATGTAACTGTGTCCACGTAGAGGGTCCGCCACCTGCTTGTCTTCATGGAGATCTGTTAGAAATATTCCACAGTATGACATTAACCACATACATCTCCATGCAGACAAGCAGATGACGCCACCAGGGCAAGTTACAGGTCAGATCTGCAGAGAGGTGACCCGATTCAGGAGTTCAAGAGTGCATGCTGGTTTAAATAAAAACCTGTAACAAATACCTGTAATTAAATAAATGGTAAATGGTCACATTTTTATATAACACTTTTCCACCTCAGGAACCTCTCACCCATTCACACACACATTCATACACCAGTGTACACTAGGGGTGGGTCTTGCCCAAGAACACAATGGCAGCATTCATCTGTGGGAGCTGGAATCGCACCACCAACCTGTGGGTCAGAGGATCTGATCCCTCATCCGATGATGTGTTTTATATCGAGAGCGGGATTTGAATAAGTGGACAAACACTCTACCAGCTGAGCTACAGCTGTCCACTAGTGCAAAATAGATGACAACATATCCATGGAAACATGTGGTGTACCCCCACGAGAAAAGATACATAGTGCATCTTTAAGTTACTGACCGACTGATCATCTCCACCCATTTCACTGTTGAATCCGCTTGCTGTGCTGCTTGATCTTCTGAAAGGATAAATACATTTAGAAAAATATGTCAAAGAGTTGTGGTAAATAAACAAGTTTAGACACAAAGCACTGACTTGTGGAAGTGGGGGTCGGCGGGTACAGTAATAAACTCCGGTGCTTCCTCCATGGCGTCGAAAAACTCATTATCATCATCCTCATCACTGGCTTCACCTTTTCCTGGCCCAGGTCCAGCTGAACCTAAATAAAAGGGCATAGCTATTTAAAAGTAATCTATAATGCAAATCTGACTCTTGTGAGCTTTAAACCTTGTTATAATGTTGTTAATACATCAAAAACATACCAGGAGTTGTGTTTTGTTTCATTCACACGTTTGAGTAACCCTTTATTATTAGTCTGGCTACATCTCCAAAGCTCAAAATTCTCTGTTGATGTCATGAAGATTAACAGCTACCTTTTACCTTTAGTTCAGTTCAGTTCCAGTCCTGAAATGATCTGAATGATTCAAACTCCAGATGTTTGTTTCTAGGTTTGAAACAAAACTATAACACAAATCTAAAATGGTGTAATATGGGCCCTTTAATGTAATGATCACTTTTCACCATAATGAACTGGTGTCAAAATGGCTTGAGATCAAAATAAGGATGAAGTCTCTATTGTACTTTTACTGTCTGCAGCTGCATTGGCCTGTGCTGCTCCTCTGAATGCACGCTCTAAATGATTATGTTGCTTTGCCAATGTCTCCAGGGTCTCCTCCAGCCTCACGCGCTGTTCCCGCTCGGCTTGTAGTGCCTTCTGCCACCGTTTGCTGTGAGCCTGTGCGAGTGAAAGGAAGTCTCTGCATGCCTGGGGGTCACGGGGAGATGAATATTGATTTGAATTTGATTACGTTCATTAGTGAGAACAAAACTAACAAATATGTATTGAATAATGATTTTCAATGAAATGTTAAAACTCACATTAATCATTGCATTTGAGGTGATTCGAAACAGTGTTGCCCTTTCTGTCACCTGCCGAATCTTGTCTCCTGCTTCTCCAGTCAAACGCAAACTATCGAGTTCTGATAATGATCTGCAAAATACGCAGTACACAACAGAATAAATTACAAATTTATTTGACAAGTTGGCCTCAATTTTTATCTTGATTAAAGCTAATACAGCACATTGGGTGTGGTGAGATACCAGACTCAGACAGGTGTGGCAGATAAAAGGCTGAGTGATAGAAAGTACAATCCTGACCTCTGGAGGGCAGAACCGTGCTTTGAAATCAGGTCATTGCAGGTGCTCAGATCCTCCACTTTGCTTCCCAGTGTCCTTAGCGCCGACTGCACCTCGGAGTTCTGTGAGCCTCCTCCCTGTCCAGACAGCGCTGGGTGAGAGGACGGGGGAAAGTCATCCCCAGAATCATCTGACACAAAAAGGGAAGGATAAAAGAGAACATTTTTAGTTTATGCAAATGTTGTTGATTATAAAGCCTGAAAAATAATAAGAAAGTCTATAAAGAATTTAAAAATGTTAAAAGGCTAGAGCCATTAGGAAATTTCTATTTCACAGTCAAATAGGCTTGTCACATTAAATACAATATAGACTTATAATTTAATACATCATAAATGAAACTTTTCTTTTGTGAGTCAATATTTTTTGCGTGTACAGTACATTTCCTTGGCACTACTATGAAATTGTTGGTTATTTTTTGACTATATAAGATTTAACCTGTAAAAGGTTTAATTAATAACCTCTATGACCCATTACCAATGCAAACTGTCTCAAATTGCTGTTTACTTATTGCAGCTCATGTTAGTCCCATGAGGTTCATTTGTTTTTTTTAATCAAATGAATAAGGGTATGCAAAAATATCAAAATACTGCATTGTTTAATGAGATGATACAAAACTGATATCCTGATCTGCTGTATTAATATATATACCCAAGAATAGTTTTGGTATATTTTATTAAATTATTTTGTTACAGCTCTACAGTTTTGTTGCTTGTTTAGAGGAAGGCAACTCATTTATGTAATTCATTTGACATTTTCACTGTTTTGATGATTAAAATGGGTGCATTTCACACACATATATATATATACATACATATATATATATATATATATATATATATATATACACATACACTTTGCTAAATCACAAGTAGTGGTTTAACAAAGACTTTTAGTATCACAGCCATGATTTAGGAATTCTTTTTTATTAAACCGTATCAAATCGATTTCAAATGTATCTTATCGAACTGCATCTAATTGAAAGCTCACTGTATTGAGATATGTATTTTGTCGTGGACAATGTATCGAGGTATGTATCGTAACAGCAACTTTTTCATGACACAAAGCTGTACAAATGAACCTCATACTTTCTAACAATATTGTATTTAGTAAAAGTTTTTGTGGTTTAAATCTGCTCTTGGGTTATTGTGTCAGTGGCATAAATTAGTTTCAGTGATATCGTTTAATGTCTATATTTACTTCAGCATTACAGTATACTGCGCTTCAGAATTTGTTTTCATGACACACCTAAAGTCAAATTGTTATGGCAACAGAGATTTTTTTGGTTTTATTGCATATTACATAACACCAGAGAAATGTGTTGTGATATAATATTAGATTTGCCCAAAACATAACAAGCAAAACAAGAAAATAAAAAAATGTTTCTGAAGTTCTTATGAATAAACTCTTTTTCAGTGTAAAAGAAATAAACTACTACAGCAGTTAAGTCTGTGAATAAATAACTTAATATAAAACTTTCAAACTAAATGCTTCTAATAGATCACTTAAACACGTACAACTTTTATATTAGCATTTTGTGATGTGTATTTAATTGCAGTAAAAAAAAAACATATTCATGGATATTACAACATACCAGACTCTTGCTGCATACGTGCTGCCTTGGCTTTGGCCAGCTCCAGCGCTGTGATCCATCTTTGCCGCTCCACCTCACAGGAGGCTTTGAGATGGTACGTTTGAGCGCCTCCATTGGAGATGACAAAGTTACAGGCATCATCCACAGTTATTGTTGCTGTAGCGAGATTGATTGTACCCCGACATGTGTGCCCCATCTCCGCCTGGGTCCTTTAGAGAAATGATACAAGATTTAGTGATACTACTTAGTGATATATTTGTATGAATACATTGAAATCTGGTGGTGCAGGTTTAATCATATCAACAAACACTGTATGTTAATTGTGGAAAATGTTATCTTACCTGTAGTATGATAACAAGCCATTGCTCAGGACAAACCACCTCCTCTGATAACCCTTGATGTAATTTGTCCACTTGAAAACCCATCCTTTGTATGTGTCACCAGCAGGAGTTGGAGTGGGGGCTTTGGAATCGGACATTGCAGCCCCCGAATTGAAGGACCCAACTGATAACACTTAAAAAGAGTGAAAAATACTTATATTTTATTGAAAATACAGTAATAACAAACCCTACTGAATAATTTGAACAACTGCAATGATACTGTGTTGTTACATGATATTGATCTTTCTGTGAACTAGGAAGGATTCAAAGGTTAACTGAGAGATCTATAGAAACTTACCTGTGGCTTTCAGCCTGATTAAATATAGAATACATTTCCTTATTGGTGGACAAAATGTAACGTTTATCAAATAAAATATGGTTTTATAATAACTATCAGTATTTTAGTAACAGTTACAGCTGTATTTACAATATGTCACGTTATATGCCACTGACAGGTGAAGACATTATAAATGCATTACAGGGTCATTATATTTTTCAGCTGAACAAACCCAGGTAATGTAAAATATGCTTAATTTGATCGTAAACCCAAGTAATGCTAGCTATCCCAAGATAGCTTCGCTGTGTCTACACTGAAGAAAATGCCAGCCAAGAGTAATAGAGGCTAAAGTACAGATGACACATAATGTACGATATGTGCAAGTACTGTGGTCGACAACATTTTACGTATTGCTAGAAAGGAGTGAGTTTCGACAGGTAACTGGGCGAGTTTTGCAAAAGCTAATAGTTAGCATAACATATTTACCTTGACGTGTCCAAAATGTAGAGCCAGGCAATCAGACACCGGTGAAGTCACTGCTAACTTTGACACCCATACGCCACTGTGATCAGATGCAGGAGCTAACAGCTAACAGGCTAACCGAGGGTGAAGATCTACCCTAAAACTCTAACAAACCCAGGACACTGGTTAAAATCATGCAATATTTGTACATTAATATCACTCCAACACATCTCACTTATGCTCTCTAATAGTCGAATGTACGGTCTTCATTCTACAGCTGCGTACGATTAAAGCTAACTAGCTACATCTCATGCTATGATAGCTAACGCTAGTTGGTTACACCCGGCGCAGCACTATTTGCTGTCGGCTAGAAACACTGAGCAATTTGTTTTCCCTTCTCCTGCCTCTGGCCGTATCAGTCAATTTATTGATTAGATTGTCATTTAAACGGAAGTTTCGACTAAAGTAATGACACAAGAGAAATTAACGGGATATTCCCCAAACACACCAGCACCTCTATCAGCCAATACTTATAAACGTTGCAAATATGCATTTAGCATTTTCATTTAAACGAAAAGACTATTTGAGCAGTTTTACTTTTTCGATCACAGGAAGACATATCGTTGTATTTTTATATTTACTTTCTGCTAAAATACTCAAAAGTAATTATCAAATAATCACGTGTAAAACGCGACTCCGGTGGGACTCGAACCCACAACCTTTGAATTACTATGTAACAACCTAGAAGTCCAATGCGCTATCCATTGCGCCACGGAGCCACTTGTTGCTGAAGATTGGAAACTTTTAAATTGAACATTGACTGTGGACATCTACATACACGAATATTTTTCCATATTATATTATTTTGTTGCATCTACGTTATGATTCCATTTCGTCATGACATACATTTTACAAGGTTTGAGGTTTTTGAACCCGACCGTGCAATTCACATGAAACACCACAAGGTGGCGTCAATACCCCACTTATCCTCTCCCTGAGCACACCATGGCTCTACAATAAAAACGCTCGTCCATTTATTTTAATAGATCCATGGCTAACTCATATCCAATGGAAAAATACGAACTGCAATATATCTTACTAATTACAGTATAACGGAAGACCATGTCTGCACATAGCTTGTTATCACAGGGCTTGTTATAACATAATAACAGACACGCATCCTGTCTCTAACACCACTGACTAAAACTGTACAATTCTATGCAAAAGGCGTTGGGCCAGGTGGTTACGATTGAAATGGAAGTATAATTAGAAGTTCTTTATAGATTCCTGAATGAGCGGTTATTGTAAAGCTAACGACATTTATATTTCGGACTGTTTTCATAGGTGCGCTGATTTCCGGTTTGCAAACAAATGAGACGCATTGTATTCTCTCGTTTCCTGCGTGCCTTTGATGCTTCCATCTCGCTCCGGGCTACTGGCGTGTCTGGGACTCCGTTACATCCGCCTATTCTATCTAACTATCGTCTGCATCGAAGACACAGCCGCCTGCATCTTCCCCGGCACCATCAGCAGCTTGACTACACTGACTCTTTCCTCCGCCCATCGCCTTGGATAAAGCGCCATGGCCAGAGCGTGCGTTATCAGGTCAGTCTTCCGCTACACTGGGCATTCACCATTTAGCTCCGAACAACGGGCATGAGAATAGGCCATTATTATTTCCTATCGAAAACGTTTTGTCTTTATTGCTTTTTGCCGCAGGTCCGCGTCTTCGTCATGAACCCCTGTTTGGACACAGAGGATTAAGTTACTGTTGCTGGCGGCGGATTATTTGATTGGCCTTCTCCTGTCACGAGCCTTTGGTGATCCCTCTTTCAATTAACAAGGTCTGCACTCAAAAAGAGTCAAGGTAATTTCGCTGGTACCGTTAGACAGTTCATTCCCTGTAGTCTTTCCCTTTTGTTACAATGATTTTATGCACGGTGAGCCCATCTCTTTGTTACAGGGCAGTGGCTGTTCTTGATAATGTACAATGTAGGCCTATGGGAATGTGGATCAATGAATTTTACCATTATTTTATTTGACATGATTTTTGAAACCTTATAGCAAGTAAGTATACAAGTGAGAATGTAAGACCTAATCTATCAGCTTTCTATTGTAAAGAAATGCAGATCTGGTCAAATTCTTGGATATGTGCTTTGACAAGTGGAAGAAACATAGGTGGATGCCACATAGTTTCAAGCTTTTCTCCCAGCCCAGCCCCCCTTCCCCATGACTGGTGTGGAGTGTTTTGGGCTCCAGCGAATCAAGCCTTTTTGTCCGGTTGAGCTCTGCTGTACTTTTCTGGACAGGCTCTCACTATGAAAGAATTTGCCTAGTCCCTTGAAAAGCTCCCCCGGTTTGGTCTCACTGGCAACTAAAAGATGTCTGAGGCCCACCCAATGTAGTGTGGGAAAGCAGGAGCTGTCTGGATTCAGTAGATTCACGCAGCAAGTGCTTATTTGGTTAAGTTAATGGTTTTGCGGTTTTGTTTTATATAAATGTTTCATACACCTGTTACATTACAAAAACCTCAAGATGAACATCGTAATTATCTTTTTTTTTTTTTTTTGGTATTCTTTGTTTAGAATTAGAAAATTTAAAGATGCTCTATGTAACTTTTCTGGTTGCGGGTCTACCATTGGTTTGTCGCCACCAGGAATGTTCCACAGTATGGCATTAAACTGATCTACCTTGCATTTATTCAACTGTATGTGTTTTAATACCCAAAAATCATGAATCCTCATTGTGAGCAGGGTCACCTCTCCACAGATCTGACCTGTAATTAGAGCTACAGATTACAGTGCACCTTTAAATGTATTTATTTTTTTATTATTACTACCTTTGCTACATAGTCAGATCTCCATTGAGCTATATCTATATTACCTATATTTTAGTTTCGTTGTTTTTCATTGCTCAGTTAAGATTATAATACGATTCTTTTTCCATTTCCTTATATTTTCATAATCATTAACTCATTTGCTTTTCAGCCATGTCCTTCCGACGAGTTGTACGACAGAGCAAATTCCGACATGTCTTTGCTCAAGCGTGGAAAACGGAGCATTGCCTGGATGACGTGCGCGTGTCCCGGGTCACATGGGACAGTCCTCTTTGTGCAGTCAACCCCAAATTCATAGCTGTAATTGTGGAGGCGGGAGGAGGGGGCACCTTTCTTGTTGTCCCGATTAACAAGGTATTATACTCCTATGATAAGGAATTAGTCTGATATTATGTGTATGTTATCAAACACTAAATTATGCAGGCCTCATTGTAGTATAGAAAAAAATACCAAAATGTTCCACTTATGACAGACCTAATATTATTGCTTTTGTTGTTTTCACAGAGTGGCAGAGTTGATCAGTCCTGGCCAACTGTTTGTGGCCATCACGCTCCTGTGCTGGACATCCAGTGGTCGCCTCATGATGACAATATCATTGCAAGTGCCTCTGAGGATAACACAGTGAAGGTCAGTTGTCTTGTGGTTTGTCATTGCTGCTGTTTTAGCCACTATCCACTGAAAATATAAATCATGTTTTAAATAATTGGGCTGAGAATCAGAGGGACCCTCACTGTTTGATACGATACACAATATAGGGCTTACCATATGATATTATAACAATATGGCGATACATGGGATACTATTGATATATTGCTGTTTTTTTAAGAAACAAATATATTTTAGCAACAATATTTCTTTGTTAAACCACCAACTCTGCAAAGTTAATATGAAATACATCTATTTGAATTGTCTGAACAGTGAATATGTCAAGTATATTGCATAAACAATCTTCCTTCCACTAAATAAGCAACAAAATTGTTATGCGGTCACAAAAAAATTGCTAAAGATACAAAAAATACTCTAGGCGATATATCGATACAGTATTCTACGATAATAATACTGTATCACCAAATTTTGTTTCACATTATTTTGATATTTTTCCACACCCCTAGTAAATAAGATGATTTTTTTATGCCTTGTCCTCTATTCTACTACTACTAGGGTAGTATAATAGTAGTATAATAGATTCCAGAGAACCTTATGATACTTTGCCTGACTACACTGAATTAACATACTGCTTATTTGACTGTCGAACATACACAAATGTTGGCTTACTTTGTTGTAGGTGTGGCAGATCCCAGATGGTGGACTAACCAAGTCAATGACTGAGGCCATAGTGACGCTAGAAGGACATAGTAAAAGAGTAGGAATCATAGCCTGGCACCCGTCTGCCTTGAACATCCTCCTTTCAGCAGGTAATATTCAAGAATACAGAATGTTTTATAATATAATATAATGATTTTGAAAGCAATGTCAATGTGGAAGCAAAAGGCTCAGTGGAAAACATTTGCAAACACTATTTACATGAGTTTCCATAAAAAATTATACAAGTTGTAAATAATAATGATTTTTTTAAAGTCATGAAGCTGTACTGACCTGTACATGTAGTAAGACTTGTTGCTGAATAAAGTAATAGTATGGTATTTTGAGTGAGAGTTGAGGAAGAGGTCTTTTCTTACTGTGATGGTGTTCAGTGACAGACACTACTGCATTATACACGCACGGCATTGGGTATCACCTTCACAGCAATTTATATCATGTAAGGTGGGTTTAAAGAAGGATCAGATTAACCTGTAAAATAATTACACTTTGTTAAATTGAAATTCTCAAGACATCAGTTTAAGTGTGATTTACATGTGATTTGCATGCACACCCTGTTTTCCTCCTTTGTCACCACACTTGAACACTAACACTTAAAAAAATAGAGGTTGAATTCTATGCATTTTTTCATGGTCGATTTCAAAGTTCATTGTTTATTGTCAGTTCTTCATAGGAAACATATGAAGAATCGAAATTATGTTTCTCACTCCCAAGCATATAAATAAATAATAATAAATAGAAAAGTCCAAGTGTACTTTAGGGAGATTCCTAACTAGAGGGGAGAGAGTTCAGCATCCTTACAGCCTGGTGGATGAAGCTGTTGTGTAAGTGATTCTGGTGGTGCAGGAACCGAGGCTGCCGTACCTCCTCCTGAAGGCTGAACAGTTTGCTGTGCTTGCATCACTAACAATTGTGATGGCTTTGCGGTTGAGGCAGGTGGTGTATATATCTTGCAGTGAGGGGAGTATTGCACCACTGATCTTCCTGGCTCTGGTGGGCTCTCCTGTCATGGTCAGTGCAGCTTTCGCCCCACACAGTGATGCAGCTGGAACAGAGGCTCTCAATGGTTCCTCTGTAGAATGTGGTCATGATTGGTGGTGAGGCACTTGCCCGTTTGAGTTTTCACAGGAAGTAGAGGCGCTGCTGGGCTTTCTTCACCAGTGATGCAGTGTTGGTGGTCCAGGAAAGGTCCTCACTGATGAGCACCCCCAGGAATTTTGTGCTGCTCACTCTCTCCACAGCAGTGTGGCCTCTCTAGAAGTCGATAACTGTCTCCTTAGTCTTGCTGACATTCAGCTGGAGGTTATTGTCTGTGCACCAGAAGGTCTACCTCTTCCTGTAGTTGTCCTTGGTGATGAGACCCACAAGATTTGTGTCATCCACGAACTTCACAAGGTGGTTGGTGCTGTAGATTGTTGTGCAGTCATGTGTCAGGAGGGTGAAGAGCAGAGGACTGAGCACGCCTTGGGGCCCCTGTGCTCAGAGTTATGGTGCTTGAGGTATTGTTGCCAACATCTACTGCTTGTGGTCTCTGGCTGAGAAAGTGTAGCAGCCATTTGCAGAGAGAGGGGCTGCCCCCCTCCAGCTTGTCGAGTTTGCAGATGAATTATTGTGGTATTATTTTGTTGAATGCTGAACTGAAGTCTATGAACAGCTTTCTCACATATGAGTCTTTTTTGTCCAGATGGGTGAGGGCTGGGTGGAGGGCAGAGCAGATCGCATCCTCTGTTGAACGTTTGGCTTGGTATGCGAACTGGAAGGGGTCCAGGGTGAGGGGGAGGATGGATTTAATGTGAGACATGACTAGCTATACCGATTGTTAAGAATCCAGAGGAACCGATAGCCGATACCCTCTGCTGATATTTTTTGGCCTATGTATAGAACTGATTTAGGTAATTTTTCCCAACTTATTACATTTTCATTTTGTACAGGCTCATTCACAACCTTCTTTTACACCAAACTGTGTGAGTCCAGTGCAGTCACGATTTTGCAGTACCTTTTTTGGACTAAAATGTTCAAACAAAACTGTATGCATATACTGTATTTTTCATTCATATTTCAGATGCTGGTTGTGCCAAACTAAATATTGGCCTCTGCTTGAGATTTATGGCCAATAGCTGATAGGCTTAAAAAATCTATCTAATATCTGTATTGAACAATAAGTAACTACATCCAAAGTCTAGGGCAAGTTCAAAATACGTTCATTTATACCACATGCAAATTGTCATCAAAACCATTTCATTGCACTAATATACCTTTTATAATTGGACTTTTTCCTTATTGTAGGCTGTGATAATGTGATTTGTGTGTGGAACGTGGGCACGGGCGAGCTCGTGTACCAGCTGAGCGATGCCCACCCTGACCTCATCTACAGTGTGAGCTGGAATAAGGATGGAAGTGCCATCTGTACCGTCTGTAAGGACAAGGCTCTGCGTGTCATTGACCCACGGAGGGGCTCTGTGCTTAAGGTTATTTCTATTTGAGATCTAGTTTTGACATTATAATAATCTCTGAGTATCCAGTCTTATAATAAACTGTATCTTTATTTCCATCAGGTGAAGGAGAAGGTCCATGAGGGCACCAGACCAATGAGAGCTGTGTTTTTAACCAATGGAAAGATCCTGACCACTGGCTTTAGCCGGATGAGTGAGCGACAGGTGGCTTTGTGGGATACGGTATGTCTGATATATTTAATGTGTTGATAATTGTGCTGCAGTGTTGAATATCATGTTAACTGCATAGTGCCAGTCCCAGTGTGTAGGTTTCCACTGTCTACCAATACAGTATTGTTGTTTATCCACAGAAAGACCTCTCTGATCCAATGGCTATGCAGGAGATGGACTCCAGTAACGGAGTACTTTTACCTTTTTATGACCCAGACACAAACATGGTTTACCTGTGTGGAAAGGTACAACCCCTTTACTATGTAATACCTGCATTATGAATGTATGGCAAAGACTTACTGTGATTTATGTATTCTCTAAGGGGGACAGCACTATCCGGTATTTTGAGATCACAGATGAATCCCCTTATGTTCACTTCCTGAGTCTGTACAGCAGCAAAGAACCTCAGAGAGGAGCTGGTTTTCTTAGTAAAAGAGGTGTAGATGTCAACAAGTGCGAAATTGCCAGGTAAAAGAAAATTTTATTTTCCATATTTGTGTCAGTATAAGAAAATATAGTAAATTTAAACTTTGAATTGTTAGGTTTTACAAATTGCATGAAAGAAAAGTGGAACCCATTTCCATGACTGTGCCACGAAAGGTAAAGTATGAGTTGAATATGTATAAAATAAATAAACAAACAGCTGGTTGGCCCATTTTCATTGTAATGTGTCTTTTTCCCTTTTAGTCAGACCTGTTTCAGGGCGACTTGTACCCTGACACTGCCAGTCTGGAGCCTGCGCTGTTAGCAGAAGAATGGATCGCCGGGCAGGACGCTCCCCCCCTCCTCGTCTCTCTCAGTGGGGGATACAGTGCCCCTCCTTCCAAACACGGACGAGACACACTGAGAGGAAAACCCAAGATGCTCTCACAAGACTCTGGGACCACCACGTCTTCAGCTCCCAGCAGCAACATCTCAACCACTGCTGCCAAAGAGCACAAAACTGAAGAGATGCAGCACTCCAGGGCAGCACGAGAGACGGATGGGAACAGCGACCGACCCAAGAAAGAGGTAATGAAACTGAAATAGGTAAAATTTTGTGGAAGAGTGTTTTCTATTCACAGACTCAAGTGAAATTCATATTATAGCCTTGCCAAACATTATTGACTGACAGGGGAGTAACACAGGGGCCTGATAGTGAAATTAGTTTTCAAGTCAATAGCTACCTTTTACTTTTTATTTAGTAGAGATCGGCAATTTCAGGGCTGAAATTATTCAAATGTATATGAAAGACACAGTGGAGCAGTTCCTATATTACCACATGACATCACAAGGTGGAAGAAAGAAGAACTCGGTCTAAATATACAGGATTTGTGTGTTAATCAATGTGTAAATGAAACAAAATACAACTAAAGGTATGTTTTTGGTGAGGAAACAACATTATAACATAGATTAAAAAAATGATGTAATATGGGCCCTTTCAAAATGCATAGTACTTCAGTTTGTTATACGTGGACTGGTCGTTCTAATAATCAGCTTGATAAAATTGTGTACTTAATCTTGAAAGAACAAAACTTAGTTGACTAATAACCATGCTGTACACTGGGCCAAAACTCCTCTATTGTACCAGAAATTATGACTTGACACATGAAAATAGAAGAAAACATCCTTTATCCTATTTAAATACTTGTTTAAATATCTGAAAAAATGTGTTTCTTTTGTGTAAATTGTGCTAAACTTATGGATAGAATTCTCTTTTTCTTTTCAATGTGGAATTCTCTAACCCTCTCAGGCTCAAATTTATTTTTAGTATCAGGAAAAATCTGATATTTTGGGAAAATTATAATATGGGGTAGTAATATACAATCCTGACTTTTTTATCCTTTGTAAACCAAAAAAAGTATTTTGCACTTCTGGCAGGCCGTTTGTGTGTAGCCATTCTTGCACAGTCTGCATTGCCCACGTTTATCAGCATGGATGGGAGAAAAGGCTCCTGAGTAAAAAAAGCTTATAAAATATGGATGTGGAGTAAATAGGTAATTGGAATTTAGCTGTTGCAAATCTGCAACGCCTGCCTGGAGAGGGCTAAAATAGAACTATCTACTTCCTGTAAATTTGTATATATTTTTCTACTTTTCTTCACAAATTGCTTCTTGATCTGTTTAAAACTATATATTTATAACAGGTTTAATTCCACCTAATTAAGTAAAAATTGGAGAATCATAGTCATACGTTGTTTTTTTTGTTTTTTTCACAGGAGGACCTCTTGAACGAGTTACTAGCTGAAATGAAGGCTCTGCGTGCAGTTGTTCTGGCCCAAAACCAGAGAATTGAGCTGTTGGAAAGGCAGCTCGCTCGGATCGAAGATGGCGATGTATGAAAACTCCTGCTTTTTTCAAACAGACCATGGCCTTACTTGCGTCCGTCCAGCTGTGCAAGTGGATTAGAAGCATAGGCTAGTGGTAAACAGGTTAAAGCTGCATTGTGTAACTTTTGGAGGAGGGTCCGTCACCAGTTTCTCTCCGTGGTGATGTTGTCCAGAATGTTCCACAGTATCTCATTACACTTATTATTACATTTATCCCTACGGAGACAGAAGGTGATGCTACAAGGCCAAGTTACATATCAAATCTGTGGAGAGATGAGCCTACTCACAATAAGAATGCACATTTTAACATCAGTAAAAACCAATGCTATTGAATAAATGAAAGATGGATACGTTTAATGCCATACTGGGACATTCCAGACATAACAACAACATCACTATAGAAACAAGCAGATGGTACCAGAAAAGTTACACAGTGCACCTTTTAACATGAAGAAAATAAAGCCTCAATATGTTATCGTGATTGAAATGACTGTTTAGGAATATTGTAGCAGCAATTATAGTGTATTGTATCTTAAAGTGAAATCCATGAATTCATTTTTGAAGGACTTTGAAGGATGTTTCAAGGCACTGTCGCCAAACACTAATCTAATGCACTAAAACATATATCTAAAACTAAACAGTGAGTATCTAATTAACACTATTAGGGCTAACCAATCAGGTAGTAAAGCTGCTGTGATGTCTTCATTGTGTAGACCCTTTAAAAATGTGTAAATGAAAACATTCTAAATTTGGGAATAGAGGTAACGGGAGGCAAAAGTGAATTGGAACATAATGCGATTTCAATGGGAAAACTAGAATATCACAAAATATCAAAATACAAAGGAAATTTGGCTAATGAAAATCATTCGGGTACAAGTGAGTGATATTAGAGTCTGGTTTAAAAACATTTTCAATTTTGTCTTGCGTTAGTTGAGATGGACAGTAAGTATTTCTGAGAAAGGAAATATCCAGATTTTTAGGTTTCACTGAACAAATCCCATTTGGCCATTACAGCTTTTCACTTCATCTACAGATATATTACACAGTTCACCATAAATTATAGTTTTTATTGAGCTCAAATTTAATTTTGAGGTTTGAATTTTTTTTTTTTTCCACCTTTCTAAACAGAGAAGCAAATTAACTAATATATGTACCTTGGAAATTCAAAATAGTTGTTTATTTTTTGTTATCATATCGTAAAACCATTAGCATTTACATCTGGTAAAACTGAATAATTGAAAATACATTATGCCTCCTTCACTTTGCCTCGAGTCGCCTCTATTCAGTAATTTTGAACAATCTGATGACACAGAATTTTAAAGGGTCTGTACATTTTTATTGTTTTGTTTTTTTTACTACGATGCCATGCAAGAGGTCAAAAATGTAAAATATTATCTGTTATGCATCATGACAGTTGGGTTTGTGTTATGGAAGTTGAAAATGTCGAAGTGAAATGTGTGTGTTGTATTTGAGTGTAGTCTTAAAGTGATGAAAAAAGGTAGCACTTGTGTTTTGGTACCTCATGTTTTAGAGATGATTTTCTCTGGGACAGTTTTTTATAATTATATTAGCTTTAGCTGGTATGTGTCATTCCTCTGTCAATTTTGATTAATCTTCCAAGGACCATTTTCTGTGCTGTACGCTAAACAACGCAATAAGTGGTAAGAAAGGACAGTGTGTTTTTTTTAACACTATATTGGATTAGTAATTTCAAACTATAAATGAACAGGATTTGAAACTTTCTGAGGTTGTGATCGTGTTTGAAGCTGGTGGATTCCAAACTATAGCACACCATTATGGTACATTCCTTTATTAACTGACCTCTTTCTTGTAATTGTACACTACATTTTCCTTTTAGTTGAAGCCAGTAGCACATCAGTAAGACCACACTGTGTGAACACAATAAACCATGATTTTCTCTTTGCAGTTTGGTTTCGTTTTCATATGTGGTGATCCTCTGAGATTGAGAGTGCATGATGAGTGAAAAGTAAAAGCATCATGAAAAAATTCTACTTAATAAAAGTATTAAAGTACCTGTTTAACAATATAGTTAAAGAGTAAAAAGTGAAAGTATTTCGCACAGATTTTAAAATCAAATAAAGCTTCACATGTAGTGATGTTGATTAAGATTTGTGCTGAATTTCGTAACAACTGAATCAATTTATCAAGCAGTTTTTATTTGTATATTTTTGTTTGCTCAAATTATGAACTTGATAAAATAAAGCCCTCAGCCTTTTCAGCAGGTTTCAAACAATAATCATATAAAAAAAACTTAAATTTTATACTTTTCAGTCCAGTACAAAAATATAATGGAATAGAAAGTACAGATATAGATACAAATTCAAGTGAAATGTAGATCGAATTTTTAGAAAAAGGAAACAAAAAAGGCGCACTGTAACAGTTGAAAAGGGGGCATGTTTTCCACAGCTTGACTCAAAATGTACCTTTTATTTGCCTACATAATTAACATTAGGTAAATTTTGTTATATGTTAGTTTTGTAGTTGTTACCTTACTAAAGTTAAGGGGCAAAACTGTGGTTGGTGATCTGTGGTCCATTTTTACTAAACCAAAAAAGGAAGTGTCCCCTGTTTGATTTGAATTCAGTTTAAAATAAGTCATACTTTCCAGAAACATCAAAGCAAGACTTGAGTGGCACATTCAAGTGAAAACAGTTTTGTAAAGTATTATCACTGATTTGAACAATTCACGACTACTAGATGGTTATATTATATTCTTAACAGTAGTAATGGCACCTGCAACAAACTGAGAAAATATGCAAGACAAAGAATATAGATGCAGATTCTACTTCCTCATTTTCTCTCCCCACCCAGTCCTTTTTGATCTTTTTGATTTGCGCTGTTTCTGTAATGTTCTGACACCTCCTCAGTGGATCACACCTTCTCTCACGCGTCTCAATGCAAATGCAAATGTAAAGAAAAAACATAGGTCAGTTCTGTCAGACGTTCCAAGATAGTTCGCGCTGGTAAGTCGTACGTTTCATTTTATTTTAGCTAAATTACGTTGAGTTTTGAAATTACTGTACACATTTTTAAGATCTGCATTTTATAAGAATCAATATTAGTTTCAGATGATTTCTCATTCTGTGTTAACACATTGTGCAACATAATTAATGAAGTTAAAGTTAGTACATAAGTTAAAATTTACAGTTACATTTTTTATGATGTGATGATATAAATAAATTCAAGATGTGTGCAGAAATAGAAATCTAACACCAAAGGATTTCACACATGTCAAACTGTTAAAAAGGTCAGAGCAGTGTTTTGATGTATTTCCTACTCCAACATCTTTCCATTTTCTTCAGTATAAATATTTTTGATCAAATATTGTAAAATCTACTTTACATTTCATAATCACATTTTTTTATGATAACAATGTAAATAAATTCCACATGTGTATAGTATATATTTGTGTGAAAAGTGCGCTTTACAAACCTTATCTTTAACTTAACTTTTGCAAATAAACAGACCTAAATAGTTTCAAATACATTGTAAACTTTGTAATTAGCATACCAAATGACGATGCAGAATATCTCTGAACAGGAAACCATAACTGCCTGCAAACTTCCTGTCGCTGCCCCCATCTCATGCAAACAGATTGAAGTTTTTCCTGTGAGAGTCTCTGCTAAATTAATGTACATATATTTAAACATAAACACAAATGCATACTATATTTCTGTCAGTTGTTAATAATGTTTTTATTCTATAGGCTACATAAGGAATTTTGTTTCTGACCAGCTGATGTCAATGGATGAAACCATTTAGGTGATTGGAAAAAAGAAAAACTGGTGAAAAAGAATAATACTTCGCTTTGATTATAGAAAAAGGTAAGTTCAGTTTAACCAATGTTCATCATATACTGCATTTCATTATCTAATTCAAACTGAGACGTATGAAAATGCCCACTTTTTTAAATGGGTCATGATCTTGTCTGAGTCCTTCTAAATGTGCCAGAGGAATAGTTGCAAATATAGTAGGAATGCACCGATCCAGCTTTTTCAGTTACAATACCAATACTGTAGTTTTAAATATTTGCTGATACCAGTGCAGAGACTGGAAAGAGCTTTAATTTCCCTTCTACAAAAATAAAATAAGGCAAAACAGATCCAAATGTGATCTGTAGCTGTAGCTTTATCTCTCAAGTGACTACAAAACAAATATTATGAGATTTTCTGGGCCAACCACGACCAGTAGGGATGTAACAATTGAAATATCGTAATATCGTATCATCAAAGTTCTCACAATAATATCGTGGACCCTCACATTATATTGAATTATAAGTTGCTTTGCTTAAATTAAGAGTTATGGTGAAGATAGTTAAAAAAGACAGAGAACTACATAGACCATGATCCTTTGCTCTATTTCAGTGCAGACTACAAGAAGAAATAACAGTTCTAAGCACTTTTAAATCTTAGTTCTTTGGATTAAGTCTTGTCAAGGCATTTAAAGAGGAAAAAGTCGCATATTCACAGTTTTGTTAGCCTCCACAAAGTATCGCAATAAATATTGTATCGTGAGATGTATATCGTGAAAATATCACACCGAGAAATTTGGATATTGTTACATCGTGAGCCTCCCCACCATGTCGTGAACTTTCCCACAATATCGCAATAAATATCATTCTGTGATGATATCGTATTGTGAGATATACACCCCTAATGCCCTGTAAAGTCTGCATTCATTTATATGTCCAACCAGGACATAGATAGACTAAACCGATATTTGGAAGCCAATTCAGCAAATTTTTCAGTATCAGTGGCAATGCAATTAATTGTTTTTTAATTTATTTTCAGAACTCAAAATGGAGGAAAACGGTGAAATCATCAACAGAGTGTCCTACTCAACTATCTGGGCTCTATTCTTCTTTCTGGTTGTCCTCCTCATCCTGCTGTTTTTCCTGTACAAGTACTTAAACAAGGAAGCGAATGGAAAATACACTGTCCAACGCATTGTATTCAGGGAAGGGGGGTTGCGGGATAGGGCCAGAGACGCAACTGTTGCCATGGGAAACCGCTTGGGAATCCAGCTGTTGCGTCATAGCGATGCAGACCAGGATCAAGAGAATGACGAAGATGAAGAGGAGGGGCAGGTGAATTCAAATGCAGACGAGAGAAGTGATCAAGAGGACGCTGTGCAGGTTGAGAAAAGTGATAGTGCAGCTGAACTCAACAACATGAAGGGGAACTCTGAAGAACAAAACTCAGAAAATGGCTCAGATGAGGAGGAGCAACAGCCACTTCTTGGTGAACCTGAACCAGAGCTGAAGGCAGAGGCAGGTAAGACCGAGGAGCCAGCAGCAGATGAAGCACAGGAGAAGGAGGAGGAGGAGAAAGGGGAGCCGAGTGGAGCTATAGTTATCAACCTAAACCAGTTTTCAGGCAGTGTCCTCTGGTCCGAAGAAGATGCAGATAAAGGAGTGGGTGATGTAACAGCACTGTAAAAGCTAAAACAACATGTAAACCAAAACATGCATTTTATTGGACATCAGGCTCAGGCAACATTAGGGGTGAGACGAGGTACATTTCCACAAGACGAGATGAGACACGAGATTGGATCTACGAGAATGAGACAAGACGAGATTTTGACATAATTTATGATACATACATTTGATTGATTGATTTACTTTATTTAAAACTTCTGCTGTCATTGTAGCATCGTTTTTGGGACTAGAGCTTCTGAAAAAATATAACCAGTACAATGTCAATACTTATTTTTTGTATCCAATCTAAACGTAAAAACAAGGGGGGAAAATCTCACAAGATAATTTTATTTATGCGAGCACAATTTTATGACATTTTTGTGTTGTGACACCAATTCTTGAACCATCCTTGGTCAACATGTACATTATATTGTCTATAGTCAGCAAGTATAAGTTCATCCTCAAAACTAGTAGTAATGGCTTAAATTACCAGGTGCTTTTTTTTTTTTTTTTACTTTTTTATTTTATTTTCTATATTCATGTATAATGTTTTAACAGTTTAACAGAGAAGTTGGTCTGGTGTAACGCTATACTTGACAAACAAACTACAAAATCTAACAACATATCTGACATTGTATTTTACACTTGACACTGTCTCTCTGTAGTATTTTATTTGTTGGCTAAATAAACTTGTGTATTCTTGCTGATGTGTTGTTATCTTGAAAGATCATGCAGGAATTGGGGAGACAATTTTATCAGCTTTCTACCAAGATGAGGAGGACAGATTTAAGAGAAATATTTTTAAATTAATAACACTTAATGTTTACCACAGTTTTCAAAACTTTGTTCAGTTTAATCATTTGGTTCAAACGTGTATCTGAACCATACACTGTTACGATCTGAACAGGAGCACATGGTTGATCAGTCAGTAGGAATATTTCTCACACAGATCTCAGGCTCTTTCTCTGAACTTTGACTCTAAGTAACAGACTCTGTTACTTTCAATATAGAAATTTATAATACCAGCAAAAAGAACAATTTGTCAGCTCCAAAAATCTAACAGCAAAAGGATTTCACACGTGTTTCAAATAAGAAAAAAGGTCAGAAAGAACAGACTGTATAAACTACAACATAAACTACAAACGGATATACACACTGACATGTGTAATGGGTTCCGTTTAATTATCAAAAGCACATTACGTAATACAGTACAAACGTGTCGATGTATTTTCTGTTCCACCATCAGCTTCTCTTTTTGATCAAATACTGCAAAATCGACTTTGTAATTGATAATGTGTACGTTTATATTTTACATAACACAACATAGACAGGTTTAAGACAGAAAAGCAAAGCTTTTCCAGTCCAACATTCCTCTGTGGAAAGTGTGACCCCCAACGTCAGAATGAACTAAACCAGTGATTCTCTGTGATCACTGAGCTGCACTGTCACATGAACAAACGAGCACAGAAAAACACATGACGTCTGAGAGTTTTGGTGGTAAATTTTGCTTTTGTGGCACAGTTAATCCGTTTTGAATGTAAAACTGTTTTGCTGAGATATTTTTTTAAGAACAAAGAATAAAAATGATAAAAATCTGTTTAACATTTTGAGTGAGCTGTTTTGCAAACGTGAATGTTCAATAAATAATTATGCCAAAGCGATTAAAACAACAATAATAACAACAACAACAACATCAGTATTATAAAATAATACACTGAAACGTATAGGCCAACTTTAAAGATTCACTGGTGCTCAACTTTGTATTGTATTTCTACACAGACTCCTTAGCTTTCATGCTAGTCAATCTACTATGGCTAGTCACCGTCACTTGTCTCAATGCTGTAAAACCCGACAGCACTACTGAGCACTAACAAGTAATTTGGGCTACCACGTAAAACATTGACTACAACCTATAAATAGTAAATTCGTTTGTTTGCCGCGTTTTTTCTATACTGGTTCTCAGTAAGAAGCGCACATTTCATATACACATACATGTACAGACAATTGGTGTGTTCAGTGTATAATCAGATACTGCCACTCAGACTCTCCTACGGGGATGTAGCTCAGTGGTAGAGCGCATGCTTCGCATGTATGAGGCCCCGGGTTCAATCCCCGGCATCTCCACAATATTTTTTCCCCTCGTGAAGTGAAACAGGGTAAGAATCTGAACGTATTTCACATTAACAGAGAATTCAAACATTACGTTTTTGTACAAAGTTTTATGAGTAGCTATATCATAAAGTTAATTTGGATGACCACTACGAATAGACCTAAATTCTCACAAGACAGATGTGTACGTCTGTTTAAAGTTCCTTAACCTGCAGTCATATTACTATAGCGCCAGAATCTGGTTATTTATTCTCCATTTAGTGCTTAATCTCAGTCAAACTTGGTTGTAGGGGAATTGGTTTCAGTAGACGTCACTCATCTGCATAGGGAGTCGAAGATGCTACCGTCCAGGAGGCTGTTGTGCTCTGTGAAAGGCGCAGGATCCCCGTCTGCTACAGAGACACCCACAGATTGCAGCGTCTCCGAAAAACTACCTATTTAAAAATGGAAGGTAAGGTTTGCACACACCGATGCATTTGTTTGTGCAAATAGCCTAGTAAGACATTGGGAGTTGCAAAAAGCCCAAGATGGATGCAGCGCCACTGTGCGAATTTGCACGGACGCGTGATTGATAAAGAGCATACCTACTTTTAGCTTTTTTAATTACCCTTTCGCTTCACTCTTGCAGGAGTAGAATGTTACTAGCGTCCGCTGTAGTGGTATGGGAATGGCTAAACGAGCACGGACGCTGGCGGCCCTACAGCCCCGCGGTCTGTCACCACATCGAGGCGGTGATCCGGAGCGACCCGCGCTGTGCTAGTGTGGTCCTCGGACAGGTGGACTCTCGCCTTTCGCCCTACATCATCGATCTGCAGTCCATGCACCAGTTCCGACAAGACACAGGTGAGACGGGGCCGCCGGGCCCAGGTGCAGGCCTGCTTAGCTTGCATGTTATGATGCTATTATAGGCCTGTGATTACAGGCTATGTAGTATTTAAGTGGAGCCTAACATGGAAGGCCCCTACAATTAATGATTCCTATTTGCCAAAATTATTATTGGGCTCAAATTTGCTATGCTTATATTCAACTGAACTGTTCTTCTTATAATGGTCTGAGTGCAGCCTGTCACAGCAGCTTTATTTTTTATATATATATCTATATATATCTATATATATCTATATCTATCTTATATATATATATATTTAAGTGTTACTGTTGCAGGATACATAAGAATATATACTGTTTATCACATTATGTTTTATGTATTATTTCCAATGTGCATGATGCAGTTTTCCAGTGACACTTTTGTGCTGGCAGCATAGGTCAGAGGAGCAGCTTCAGTGCCCAGACACAATACACACAGACTGCACTAGAGGTCTTCATTGGCCTACATACAAATAAGGGGCAATAAAAAGCAAGCTGTCAGTATTGTCCCACAGAAGGCCATGCATTGGCCTCCATCCCAGCAGAGGCTGTTAGAGAAGGGTGACAGTGAGGACAGAAATCATTTGAAAATCACTACTGACATTACAAAAGGTTTTTTAATACCTCCATAATGTCCTGTTTAGTTGAGCTACGATTGTGGCAGTTATAAAGACATTTTGCCTTTCCAGTTTCCATGGGCTTAAGTTTAACATTACTACAGGTTATTTTACAGAAGTTAGAGTATGTATTTTCCCAGAGTGGTCGATGAACTTTAATACATTCATGGAAGAGTCTGGGAAAGCAAACGGCTCCAGTGTTGAGCCTGTTGAGTGCCAGCCAATCAGAATTCAGATCACCCTGTGCTGTTACCAACGGCAACCTGTTTGCCCGAACTCTCAGCAGGCAAGACATGTTGAATTTTTTTAATCTAGATTTTCTTGTCAAACAACAGTAGAAATACTGACTTAAATGTTTTTGCTTTATATAATTACAATTATACACACAGTGTATTTGTTTGGTCAGGTACCCTTCGGCCTGTAAGACGCAGTTTCTACGACCCCGCCTCCGCCCCGGGGCAGGGCTGGCTGTGGGAGTGGGAAAACGACGCTGGGAGTTGGACTGCGTTTGACACTGAGGTGGGCAATGCCATCCAGGCTGCTCGGGACCGACAGCAGCCCTGGCTGGACCTGGCTCCACTAGGATTCTCCTACCTCATTGACTTTGAAAACATGACCCAAATCAATGGGCAGACACAGCGCTGTCGGCGTATCCAACGGCGCTCTGATTTGGCCTACCCCATGGTATCTGGACCACTGCCAAAATCGCACCAGGCCTGGGGACCTACGTCCATGTCAGGTGCTGGGGGACTGTTGGGTGTGGATGTGTCCAGTATGGGGGTGAGGATGAACAGCAGTGGAAATGGGAGCGCTTACCCCAGTGGGGCACTGCCCGCCTCGGCCATCACCTCTCTGGGGCAGCCCTGTGCCTGTCAGCAGTGCATGATGGTGCTGGGTGTAAAGCCCGGTACTCTTTCCTCTTTCTCCACTATGTCCTCTGCACAGACTCTGGGAAGAAGACCTGCACAGACTAAACTGCCTCTGCCTGCCATCAGCCCCAAAGTTCACAGTTACTGTGTTCCAGGAGGCTCTTACTCACTGACGCTGCCCCGCCCCCTGACTCTACAGCGCACACTTCCTTCACACAGAACGTCTGTGATGGGGGCAACAGGCGGATACAGTGTGGGGGGCATGGGGGGTCCAAGTGTTGTAGGTGGCAGCGGTGTAAGTAGTGGATATGGTCTTGGAGGAGGTTATGGACACTCCCTGTCTCTCCTTGGTTCGGCCACTGCAGCTCTGTCCCTCTCCTCCAGTCGACCCCCTCCACCCCCACTGCCCCCCCCAGCCCCGCCGCCCCCCTCCATCACCCCTCCATCCACAGCCCCAAACCCCTCTCACCCCTCCCTCTCCTCAGTGCTCTCAGTGTCCTGCCCTGCTCCCACCTCTTCTTCTGGTCCATCTCTCATTTCGACTGTCTCCTCCACCTGTGCCCCCTCACCCTCCGCTCGTGTCCTGGGACCCGTGGCGTTGTCGGGGGCACCCGCTTGTGCTGCTCCTCTTCCCCCTCGCTCCAGTCTGGCAGGACTTAGTCGCCCTGCGCTGCAGAGGATCGCCATGGCCCAATCCCGTGCCCTTATTGCCTCTGGGTGAGTACCAAGCTAATTCAGTTACTGTCACTTCTATGAAATAACACTGGAATGACCATACCTTCCATTAAGAAATTACAATGACAATTCTTGATTTATCAGATGTTCCAAACTAACTCATATTTAAGTATAAGTAAAGTTTCAATAATTTCAGTTTACTGCAGTCTGCATATTGAAATGTGATTAAAGTCATGCAGCCATGCAATGCACTACATGAAATATTTCTGCATTTCCTATAGTAATCTCTGTATGTTATTTGCATGACCAATAACGTCACAGTTAACAGGTGAGAGTCTGTCCAGATGGTAGCACTATTGAATCTCTGACGTCACTGATCTTGTCATCTCTCTACTTCCTCACTCCTGCCAAATGTCAAATGAGCTTTCCTCAAAGTCCTGTTGTGATCGTGCCACTGCTGTTACCACAAAAGTTTGGCTGTAGTTATAACTCAAACCACACGGCAATGCTGATGTAATTTGGGTAAACCTTCAAACTGGGACAGCTATGTGTTTCCACTGGCTGAGTGATTCCAAACAAAACATAGAGATAACAGAGATATGGATCACTAAATTAATAACTTCTTCTAAATATATTATATTCCAGACTTCATTGTTAAAAAAAAAAAAAAAAGATATTTTAGTGCTATATAATTGGATTGGATTTCAATGCCAAAACAATAATGAAAGTTATTGTACCATCTCCAATACAGAATGCGATTGTGCTTTTCAAGGAAATGGAGATGATTTTATTCATAATTGTTTTTATTAAAAGTTCTGTATTATGCAAAATTAATTCTTCTGAGCTTTAAGTCATGTTGTAATGTGGTTACCTGATCAAAAACAGGCCTGGAGTTGTGTTTTGGTTACTCTCATACTGTATGTTTAAGTAATCCTTTATTATTAGCCCATATTTCCAAATCTCCTTTATTCTCCTTTGGTATTAGTCTATATCTCCAAAGTTCAAAATGCCCTATTCCACCCTGTGATGTCATGAAGCTGTACAGCTACCTTTTATCTTTTGTTCAGATTGGCATTTCCAGGGCTGAAATCATCCACATGATTCTAGTGAAGGTGTACGGAGTTTAAAAACACAGTGGAGCACTTCCTGTATTACCACATGACCGTGTGAGAGAATAACTCAGGATAAATATGCAGGATTTGTGCATTAAACACGTGAGAATCAAAGAAAAACAAGTCCAGTTATGCTTTTGATGAGAAAACATTATAATGTAGATCAGAAAATAATGTAATTTGTCTCTGTTAAATTTTTATTTGAACAGCTTTTAACTAACTTTGTTTTAATTTGACTAAACTTATTGTGCCATAAAGTATATTAAGATATCGCCATATTATTATTCCTGAACAAAACGTAGTGATCAAACATTGCATCTTTTTCTCATATCATGTTGCCCTAATTTCAATTGAAAGTTTCATGTGAGAAGTGGTGTTTTGTTTATAGCAGTGAAATGCAGCAGATGGCTTCTAAGTGAAGTCTTGAACTCAAGGGGCTACAGTGTCATAGATTAAAGTTGTGACGAGAGCAGCCATAGGTCCAAGCACCTGTTAGCACTACTTTTTCACGTTACTACAGTTCCTTTTTCATAATTATTTTGCTGTTTCAAAGCAGCATCTAAACACCTTTTCTACTTTTCAATTATCTTTAATGTTAGTATGAATGTATATAAACATGAAGTTGTGAGTTTTTGGTGGACATATGTGGCACTCTTTACTTCTCCTGTCTCCAGATTGGGCTACACTAATACTGTTAGATTAACCAGGATCAGAGAAACGTGACCTGACTATCTGGCACCCGTTTCTCCTTGTCCTTTTCTCTCACCTCTCCTCTCCCTCTGTTTTCTCCCTAATCCTCATCCATCATAGGACTGCCAAAGTATTGCTCAATAGTAAATAAACCAGAAGACGTCTAGACATAACTTTTCTGCTATGTTAAATTGTTGTTTCCTCATCAAAAACATACCCAGAGTTGCGGTTTGTTTCATTCACACATGTTTATCACACAAACCCTGCATATTTAGGCCGAGTTCTTCTCTCAAACAGAAAACACTCCATGCCATGTGGTAATACAGGAAGTGCTCTACTGTGTTTTTAAACTCCACACACCTTCACTAGAATCATTTGGATAATCTCAGCCCTGGAATTGCCAATCTCTACTGAACTAAACATAAAAGGTCGCTGTTAACTTGAAAACTATTGCTTCATAACATCACAAGGTGAGCATTTTGAGATCTGGAGATATAAATAAAGTAATAATAATGCAAGTTTATTCAAAAATATGTGCAACAAATCACAACTCTGGGTATGTTTTTGAGGAGGTAACAGCATTCGAACATAGTTTAAAGCTCACAAGAGTCAATTTTGCGTAATGTAGAACCTTTAATTATAATAATGAATCAATGTAACTGATGTACATATTGTATTAACGTCATGCTGCGATACGTGCACCTGTCTGTCATCCGTATGGTAGCCCGGCTTTGTGACGTAGCACCTGACAGGTAATCCCTGGCCTACAACTGTGTTTGGTCAACAGATGGAAACAGGTGGATTAAGCCTATAAAAGGGAGAGAGACCTAGCTCAGACCAGGCAGAGGAAGTGCCACAGACAGTCCACTACTTCTGCTGCGGTTTCAGAAGCCTTTTGAATTTTAGTGAAAATCTTTATCTGTGTTCTGGGATTTTTAAAAAAGTGGGAACGATGACTGTGATTAAGACAGGCCGACCGTAAGTACACAATATTACACAAATGTTAAGATGTTTTGGGCTGTAGTGTTTTGCAGTGTTAATAGGTATAGATTAAACAAAAAAAAAATGATGTAAAATGGCCAATGGCTTTAGCCTAAATAAAGTATTAGTTATGGTTGGTGAACTAGTTAAATGGTGATTATTTTTATAGTTTTATTATACCAAAACAAAATTCAAAACACTGGTATTAAATTGGAATTTTTCTTATTGAATACTTATTGATCAAAAGTGGCTAGTAGCTATATATATTGTGTGTGTTTGTGTGTGCGTGTGTTTTTATATTACTTTTTATAATTTGTACAATTATATGAGCATGAGGTTTCAGACAAAAGCTTTTTCCCGATTTGAAGGATTTTGTATGGACCTTTCCATATTCAAAACATGAATTAATTATCTGTCTGTGATTCAAAAGATATAATATATTGATTTGAATTTTTTAATTTAGAATAGACTCTTTATGGTTGAAACACACAAACATAGGCTAATGAGTTTTTTGTGTGTCATGACGCATCATAATCTCGTACCTGAAAAGCAGGTAATTACATTAGACTGACATATGGAGAACTAGAAGCGCATGCTGTTGTGTGTCTACAGGTGACTCATCAGGTTGTGAATGTCGGCTAAGTCTTTCCCAGTCACGTGTCACACACCCACTCAAGTTTAAACGGGTGTATTTATAGATCTTGTTTTGTCTTTTCTCAGAGTCCCAACTGTTCCCGTCAAGAACCTGAATGGATCCAGCCCTGTGCATCCTGCTTTAGCTGGTAAGACTGATACATATACAATACCAGTCAAAAGTTTGGACACAATCTCTCATTCAATGTTTACTACTTTCTAACATTTGATATACATATAGAAAACATCAAATATATGAAGTAAGTTATATAGAATTATGTATCAAAGGAAAAAAGTGAAATAACTCCACTAAATATCCTCAAATATCCCCTTTACTTTGACGAAAAATACAGATTAATTATATTATATTATTTAACTTTTTTTTTTACTACTTCATATAGTTGATGTCTTCCGTATGTATCTAAAATGTAGTAAGTAGTAAAAATAAAGAAATAAAAATTTTATGAGAGGGTGTGTCCAAACTTTTGGTTGGTAGTGCATGTTTAAACAACACCAGTCAAAAGTATGTAGAAATGTAAAATGTAAAATTATTTAGTATAGAAAAAAATAAAATAACTACTAAATGTTTTTCGACAAAGCAAAACATGGCTACTTTGTGGATTTCAGTATAAAAATGTACTAGTAGTAATGCATGTATCTAAAATAAAATTAAATAAAATAAAAAAACACTGAATGAAGGTGTGCCCAAACATATGACAGGTAGTGCATATAATAAAAATAACTTAAATGTTAAAATCGTAGGTTTAAGTATTGTTTGAAATAAGAAAACCTACTCACTTGCACCCTCTGCTGGTGACTCACAGGAATCACAGGAATTCTGATGAGCGCTGCTGGACTTCCTGTATGTCTGACCCGTCCGCCCAAACTGGTCCTCCATCCGCCCCCTGTCAGCAAGAGTGACATCAAACCAGTGCCAGGCCTGGGCCACTGCTGCCGCAAGACCACCAAGAAACAGGCTCGCAAAGGTGAGTTTTCCTGGGAGGGCATCTGTGAAAATACTGCGAAATTCATGATTGGAAAAATGTGCTGATCATTTTGTGTGTTTCTGTTGTTTTAGGAAAGACACCAGAGGAAGTGGTGAAGAGGTATCTCCAGAAAGTCCGCAATCCTCCTGAAGAAGTACGTCTACATTAAATAGTAGCACTAATTTAGTAGTAGTAGTATTAAACTATTTTGCAGTTGTCGCCACATTTGCCAACTGGTAAAGGATAGGTTTATACTGAACGAAAGTGATAAGAGATTGGAACAAGAGAGAGATTAACTTTTGCTGGGCTGAGTTACTAAAATTATGAAAAAAAAAACAAAAAAAACTTTCTTCCACTATTCATTGTCGAATGGCCCTTTTAACGGTGCACTATATAAATGGTAGAGGGTCTGTTTCCTTCTATTCTCCACAGAGATAGATACGTTTAATACCGTACTGTGGAACTTTCCAAGCACAGCCTCTCCATAGGGACAAGCACCAGAGAGAGAGTTACATAGTGCACCTTAAAGAACTCATATTACCCAATTTTCTAATTTTAATTTCTACTAAACAAAAGGTTAAATGTAGCTGTTCACTTAAAACTATAACTAAATTACATCATAAAGTGGAGCAGAGTATTTTGAGCTTTGGAGATGAGGAGATTGATGAGATAACAACATTATAACATGGCTTCAAGCTCATTGTGTACTTTTTGAGTAATACAGGACCTTGAAATTGAAGCAAGTTGCATTTCATAATAAAAAAAAATGTTTATTCATTATTGTTATTAGAGTTAACAGAAAGATATGGTGATTACTTCTATAGATAGATAGCAACATAGAAAAGTTAAGTTTAGGATAGTGAGCATCGGCATAGAATAGTAAGGTTAAGTGAAGGTACATTTTATGATATAGGGGAATATAGCAAAATTTCAACCGATCATGTTTCCCTAGGACTGCACTATCTGCATGGAGGCTCTGTCTGGACCCTCAGGCTACAAAGGTCCCGGGGTTGGGGGTATATCTCGTGCTGAGTCGGTGGGACGCCTGACACAGTGTGGGCACCAGTACCACCTCCAGTGCCTTGTCGCCATGTACAACAACGGGAACAAAGATGGCAGCCTGCAGTGCCCAACCTGCAAGACCATCTACGGAGTGAAGACAGGGAACCAGCCCCCCGGGAAGATGGAGTACCACGTTATCCCTCACTCGCTCCCAGGACATCCAGACTGCAAAACTATCCGGATCATTTACAACATTCCTCCAGGCATACAGGTAACAGCTTGTAATGTCAACAACAGAAATATCTTAATCAATCAAACTTTATTCATAGATCCCTTTACAACACACCATTCTAAACTCTGTATTAACTTCAATATTGATTTTTTTTTTATTTTTTTTAAACACAGGGCCCAGAGCACCCAAATCCAGGCAAACCCTTCACTGCACGTGGCTTTCCCAGACACTGCTACCTCCCTGACAGCGAGAAGGGACGCAAGGTAATTAATTTTGAAAAGACTCGTCATAAACTTAAAGGTGCACTGTGTAACGTTTCTGGTAGAAGGTCTAGCACCTACTCCTTGATATTATTGTTTTTTATTGGAATGTTCTACAGTATGGCATTTAATTTAACTATCTCCATGGAGAGAAGTATCCACATCACCAGGTCAAGTTACAAGTCTGATCTGTAGAGAAGTGGGCACGCTCACAGTAATAATGCATGTTTTTGTGGAAGTAAAAACTCCTATAATTCAATAAATGCAAGATCTCTTTGTTTATTGTCATACTATGCAACATTCAAGGCAAACCAACAACGTCACCATGGAGACAAGTTGATGCCGGGTACTACTAGCCAGGCCCGCGCCACCTAGTGCCTTCGTTCAACTTCATTTCTCTCCAGAGACTAGGTCAGAAATCGGAATACACTAGACCGTTTGCAATAACCTCGGGAAGTGAGTTCGGGCACCAGCCAATCAGAAAAGAGCTATACATTCTGTGTTGGCAATGATTCCAAGATATATGATTTAAACTGGAACAAAGAGAATGTTTGGTGAATTTTATCAAGGGGAAAGACATTATTGCCCTTCTTCCTACAAGATTTGGGAAATGTTTAATATACGAGTTAGCCCTGTTAGCGGCGCATTACATAAGTCACGACCAAATAGCAACAATAGGTTAAATAAAAAAAAGTACCTGCCTACTGTTGAGCGATCGAATTCTAATGCTGTGAGGTCAGCACTGAATCAGGCTAGGAGTTGTAAGTTACACAGTAATTATACATATTCAACAAAAATAGTTCATAATAATTACTATAGATAAAGATAAAGGTAAAGATAAAGATAGTAAATACAGTTTCTCCGTATTTTTACCATCACTATTCTTAACAATATTCTAATTAGGTATTTTTGCTTTAAATATTTTCATGTTATTAATATATTTTTTATTCTGCAATTTGGTATTTAGATGTTTTGTACTTTATATGAGCTGTATCTAAACTTTGGTGTTTGCGTATTAATGAAGGTCGACATAATGTAACAAGTCATGTATTTTTTCCAGGTCTTGAGGTTACTGCTGGTGGCATGGGACCGCCGCCTCATCTTTTCCGTGGGGACCTCCAGCACTACAGGGGAGTCTGACACAGTCATCTGGAATGAGGTGCACCACAAGACCGAGTTTGGCTCCAACCTCACTGGTCACGGCTACCCTGACCCCGGTCACCTTGACAACGTGCTGGAGGAGCTAAAGGCCCAGGGCATCACAGAGGAGGAGTGCCTGCCCAGAGACTGAAGAGAAAGGAGGACTATGAGACACAAAATCCCACTTGGAGCTCTTCTTGGGACTGCTACGAGTTCAACTTTGATGGGATTCGAGATGCAGTAACAGTATTCAGACATTTGAGCCCACTGTGCACATAGATGTCAGTGTTAGATTACAAAACAGGAAAACTGTGAGACTAATATAAAGAATGTATCTTGAGAAGTGTTTGCTGCTATGAGGAAACAAAATGATGGTCCAGTTCACTAACAGTGGGATTTATATAGTTTTGACAGACTTCACAGATGAACTTCAGTATTATTAAGTGTAAATCTGGATATTTGAGCATGGGTATTTGCTGACCCCTAGTGGTACTTTTCCAGAACAGCATTCCTTTTTAGCTTTGAATTGCTTTGTTGTATTTGGACTATTTGATATACAGTACAGTAGTTATTTTATATGTCATTTTTACACTTCTGTTTAACATGTGTTTTTTTTATCGTGCAGTCCATTGCATTTTGTGTGTGGTGTGACAGAAAGAGACTTTGAAAAGCTGCTACATGCACCACTGTTTGCCTGACATTTTCTAATTATACTTGCCATAAACATCCCATATCGCTGAATATTTTAGACAATTTACTAACATTCCCTGCATTTACAAGATTGAAAACTTTTAGTCTCTTCATAAGCGTTGTTATACTTATAGGTCCTATATTATGCAAAATTGACTCAAAGTTGTTCCTTCATCAAAAACATACTTGGAGTTGTGTTTTGTTTCATTCACACATGTTCGAGTAAACTTTAATTATTAGTCTGTCTACATCTCTAAAACTCAAAATGCCCTGTTCCACCTTGTGATGTCATGAAGTGTTAGTTTTCAAGTTAACGTCTATTTTTGACCTTTTAGTATGAGCAAGATATACACAGGATTTTTGTGTTAACATGTGTGAATGAATCAAAACACAACCCCGGGGATGTTTTTGATGAGGAAACAACATTATAACAGAACATAGATCAGAAAATACTGTAATATGGGCCCTTTAAGACATAATTACTATTCCATTACAAGGAAATACACGACTGAACCTCCCACCTATAAGCTTAGATTTGCACAGACCTTTTCAACTTAGTATGACACTAAACTACTTGTACGTATGAACATGTTCAAGCTTCAAAAATCTATTATTTTTAGTTGTTCAAGGCAAGTGCAAAGACTGGTTTACTAATAAGATGAACCTATTTTGACATTCTAAGGATTCCCATTTAAAGCATTTATATCACTGTATATGCATTGTATTGTATATGTTTTATGTGCACAAGTTTGCATTAAACATTTTTCTAAATAATTAAATATGATAATACTTTTATGACACATTTTGTTTACTGGAGTATTTGGTAATGAATGGAGATCACAGTACTTTGGCTTACGCGGCAGCTGACTTGGACTCAGGAGGGGAGTGATCACTTTATCTGTGGATTAGATTAGTCTGTCTCTTGGATTACTTGGCTAAAGGACCGCCAGCTTCATTGAAAAACTATATATTCACTCCCAGTCAATACCGGTGTTTATTTTTTTTAAGACTTTCTAAATCTTATATGCATATGGAAGACATCAAATATAAGAAGTAAGATATATGGAATTATGAGCCAAGAAAAAAAGTTAAAAAATTACAAAATCTTTTTTCAGCAAAGCAAAGGGTGGCTACTTTGAGGAGTTATTTTCCTTTTGTTTCTTTACATTATTCCATATATCTTACTTTATATATGTGCTGTCTTTTGTATGTACTGTATATAAAATGTATAAAGTGGGAAATATAAAGAAAAAAAAAACACTGAAAGAGAGAGTGTGAGAGAGAATGAGTTTGATTAATTAAAACACACAACTGTGGATAGTAGACCTATTATGTACATAAGAACATTAGAATACATGTGCATAGGCTATGTAGTGTTTTACATAGTGCGCATTAATAAGCCAGGTCTTAAACTCCTTTCAGCTCTACTCAGTTTTACTAGTAAAGATTAAACTTTCTGACCGTGGCCAATCTGTGCAGGACATATGTTTAAAGTGACAGATGTGATGGATTGGCTGAAGCTGGTCAATAGGTTTATGTCCATGTGCACACGTCATGTTTCTGAGCAGCAGGTGGGGTCAGTGTCTAATATGACCAACATTTAGTTAAGACACGCAACAACAGAAGGTCGGCTCATCATTTTGCAGAAACTGTTTTCATAATAATATTTTGAACACACTACAAATCTGATTTAAATATGCACTATGTAACTTTTTGCTTGGAGATTCGTCATCTGCTTGTTTTTACTGTATATGTGTCATTGCTCTGCCGGGAATGTTCCACAGTATGACATTAAACAGCTCTACCTAACAATGACTCAATTACAGGTGGTTTTATAGCTCAGAAATACCTAGAAACGCAGGTGCTGACTGTGTGCGGGGTTGCCTCTCCACAGATCTGACCTGTAACTTGGTCTGGTTTGGTCTCCATGAAGATAGAAAGATTTAACGTACTGTGAAACATTCCAGACAAAGCAGTAACATTTCCATGAAGAAAAGCATCTGATGGACCTGCGTGCACCTTTAAATCCAAAATTATGTGTGAATTAAAACTGGTCCTGCCACTTTGATAAACTCTGGGTTGCATTGCCTCAGTCACATAGTCTCTGAGGCCTGTTGGAGCTTGGGCCTTGCTAAACTACAGCACTTACATAGTTCTAACCAGATAATATTAGGAACAATGTCTTGAATGTGAACAAACTAAGCCTATGCAAAAGCTATATTTAGTAGTTGAAAAGCTCCTGTTGCTTGTCTTTACCCAGTAGAGACACTCCATCCCTGTTGAGTAGCCTTTCAGCTGGAGCACAATGCGCATTTTGTCTACTCTGCCATTGTTTTGAGTTTCACACAGTCACACTGCCAGTATTTTCATCTCATCGCATTGTTCCAGAGAAAGAAAATCCTCCCTCTATCTTCCTCTCTGAAGCAAGACGACTTTTGTATTATTAAAAGCTTTTAAATAGAGCAGTAACTGGCTGACTACCAAATTGGCTGCCTTGTTGCCTTGGAAACACATATCCGTGGTTTTGGGCTCGCGCGCTTTCTTCCCCTCCCTCTCTCTCCCCCTCTCGTTATCCCTCTCTCTAATTCTGCCTCCCACCCACCGACCCTCTCTCTCTTTTTCATTCTCCCTCCTTCTCTCTCGCTCCCACCCACCCTCTCTCCCTCATTCTCCCTCCCTTCCTCTCTCTCTCTCCCTCTCTTTCTCATTCTCCCTCCCTCCTTCTTTCTCCCTCTCGGCTCATGTTTCAAAACTGTCAGCAATATTCTCACACACTGCTGCCTTTCAGCTAAAAGCTTTTTGTGTGTGCGTGCGGCGGCGGAGTGCACAGCGCGAGGGGGGGAAAGGACGGCAGGGGGCGTGTTTGGGCACGGGGAGGGGGAGCACGGTCCCTCCCTCCCCGTTGCCTTGGAAACTTGATGTCACGGTGACATCAGAGAGCATTAAAAGCTTTTAACCGGTTTCCTCCAGCCCTAGGCCCCATTTTGAGTCCTCTTTCAGCGAGGCTAGGGGGTGGGGGCACGGCGAGCTTGCAGGGCTATGCGTATAAGGCTTTTATGGCACAGAATCTGACTGCAGACAGCAAGGCAGCTCTCAATGCAGTAAAAGGCTTTCAAATCCAGCCGGTTAAGATTGAAGGCATGCAAGCAGCACAGCCTGTACAGCAGCCAAAGATAAGCCTCGCAAACATGGCTGCAGCAGAGGACAGCTTCAGCTACTTAATGCCAGGAAGCAGTGAGAAGCACAGGAGGGCCCCCAACTGGACTGATGGAGAAATGAAGGCACTCCTGTTCGTGTGGGAGGAATTCCACCATGAACTCAAGAGCAGCAAGAGAAACGCCAAGGTCTACGAGAAGATGTCTCAGAGGTTCTTCCAGCTGACAGGAGAGCAGCGCTTCAAAGAGGAGATCAAGATGAAAATCACTAATATGTCTTTCCAATACAGGTGAGAGTGTCCAGGTAGGCACAGAGCTACAGGTAATGTTTTTCTGTGCATTATATCTTATCTAAATGTGTTCTCTTTTTCCTTAGGAGGCTAAAAGCAACACAAGCTGACAACGGAGAGGTACCAGACTGGCCCTACTACAAGACCATAGAGAAGATTCTTAATAAACCAGTAGAAAATGGCAGAATAAACAATATGGATTTCAGCGCAGCTATGGCAGGGCCCTCCACGTCTTCCCCCAGCGACCCACAGGTGCTCCACACAGAGGACGGCATTGTGGAGTTTCTGCCCGAATACACTGGCTCCTCAGACGAGATGGAGATCAAACAAGAGCTGGACTCTCTCAGCTCAGACAGCGAGCTCATACAAGCTTCCAGGTAACAGCAAAGTCTGGTTTCAGATGAAGGGAGTTTTTTTTTTTTTAAATTGGTTACACAAAAGATCTTCCAATTAAAGGTGCATTGTGTAACTATTCTGGTGGAGCATCCGACAAATGCTTTGTTATTGCTTTGTCTGGAATGTTTCACAGTGTGGCATTAAACGTTTCTATCTTCATGGAAATCCGACCAACGAAGTTATAGGTCAGGTCCGTGGAGAGGCAACCCTACTCAGAGTCAGAGCGCCTCTTTTTCCAGTTATTTTTGAGCAGTATAAAGCCTGTAATTGAAAAAATGTAAGGTAGAGCCGTTTAATGCCATACTGTGGAACATTCCAGACAAAGCAATAACATCTCCATGAGGCAGAAGTGACATATCCATAGAAACAAGCAGGTGACAGACCCCCAACCAAAACATTATTTAGTGCACCTTTAAAGATGCATTACGTAACTTTTTGGTTGGCGTTTGTCATTATCCCAAATATGACATAAAAAAGCTCTACCTTATCTTTGTTCAATTACAGGTGGCTTTATTGCAAAAAAATAAAAACCTGGAAAAACGGGCATTCTGACTGTAAGCGGGGTCACCTCTCCATAGATCTGACTAGTAACTTGGCCTGGTTTGGTCTCTGGGATGATAGAAAGGTTAAAAGCCATACTGTGAAACATTTCTGACAAAGCAATAACACCTCCATGGAGAAAAGCATTTGACAGACTGGGTAAAACCTTTCTTACTTCATACCTACTTAACAAACTTACTAGATTGCTTTTTTGATTGTGATGCTTCTTAAAGGCGCATTGCCCAACTTTTCAGGTGGAGGGTCTGTCACCTGCTTGTCTCCATGGAGATGTTATTGCTTTGCCTGTGATGTTCCATGGTATGACAATAAACACATCTATCTAGCATTTATTCATTATGGTGCTTCTATTGCTCAAAAATACAATAATTGTCACTGTGAACAGCGCCGCCTCTCCACAGATCTGACCTGTAATGTAGCCTATAGTTGTCTCCCTTGAGATAGATTAAGTAATTTTGGTTTAATCTTTGGTTTAAAAACAGACAAAGCAATAACATGTTCATGAAGACGAGCAAGTGATGTACCCTCCACCAGAAAAGTTGTGCAATGCTTCTTTAAAAAGAGTTTAGTTATTAAGTTGAGTTTTTATTCTCTCTTCTGCAGCTTACAATCTTCGGGTAAAAAACGCCTGACAGACAAAAAGCAGCTCCAGTTGAAGAGGAAGAAAGTGCGGCTGATGCAGTGCATGCTTCAGGAACAGAGGAGGTCCAGCCGTGCTCTGGAGGAGATGTGCAGAGAGGTGCGGAGAGCTCTGCACCAACAGAACCTGGTCCAAGTACAGTGTCTCCAGATGCAAGAACGTATGATGAACCTCATGGAGAGATTGATCCAGCTCCCGTCTGTCCCGTCACAACCCAGGCACCACGATCCTGCAAACCACTGAAGTGTTAAAGTGAACTCTATAGTATTTTTATTATTTTTTTAATCTTTATAGTTTATCCGTGTATTATATGAATAGCATGTTGTAACAGATGTAGACTATTCAATACACAAATTACTTTTTATCAACTGAGGGCATTTTGTGTAAATTAAAAAAATCACTGTGACCAAAGAATCCTGTTTTTAATTTTTAAGGTGCTCTGTGTCTGCCAAGTGCATGTCTCTGTGGATATGTTACTGTTTTGTCTTACCATCTGCATGGACACAACACCAGGTCAAGTTGCAGGTCAGATCAACGGAGCGGAAAGATATTTTATTTCCAATAAAATGCAAGATAGGGAAGTTTAATATTATGTTGTGGAACATTATGGGCAAAGCAGAAACATCTCCATGGAGACAAACAGGGGACCTTCTATTTGACTTACATAAGACAGCTTTAAAGGGCCCATACTACACTATTTTCTGATCTGTTATAATATGATATCCTCATCAGAACCATACTTGGGGTTGTGTTTTGTTTCATTTACACATATTCAACACACAAATCCTGCATATTTAGGCTGAGTTCTTCTCTCAAATGGAAAACACTTCCACCTTGTGATGTCATGTGGTAATACAGGAAGTGTTTTCAAACTATGCACCTTTACTAGAATCATTTGGATAAAGTCAGATTTTGGAATTGCCAATGTCTACTGAACTAAAGGTAAAAGGTAGCTGTTAAATTGGCATCATAAGGTGGAACAGAGCATTTTTTATTTCTTTTTTCGCTTTGGAGATGTAGACGTCTAATAATAAAATTACTCAAATGTGTAAAAATGAAACAAAACACAAGTCAGTATGTTTCTGAGTAATTATCAGCATTATAACATGGCTTATAGCACACAAGAGTTCATTTTGTTTAATATAGGAACATTAATATCAAATATGCCTTTTTTATTTGATTGTTATTATTTCTTTTTTTGCTGTATGCCGTTATTGTTTACAGTGTTTAGCTACATGATTTCTATACTACGTTTGCCATAGTCTTTTTTCACAAAGCTTGCAGATGCATACCGGGAGGCTTATGAGCTTAAGGTTAAACTGAGCATCTTTTGAACATTTATTAATGCAAAATCACTGCTTAATACACAAGCACGTCAACAAGCATGCACCACCTCACTTTAAATAAGACAGAAGATATTCACTTTTCCATTCATTATCTATTTGTAAACATACAGGTCTGTAGCCTACTAAAAGAACATGCTTTTGAGCCCATTTTAAGAGGATTTGGAGAAAATAAGGATTAGTTCCGTTCACATGTTAGGTCAGTTGTAATGTAACTTGTAGCCTTCTACAGACAAACATTGACGCATATAGGCTGAATTTCTCATTTATTACTATAAAAAATCAGCTAGTTGTGAATTTGTGGGTGGTTTGAGAGACCCATTTGCGGCTCACTTAGCTGAAGACAACCACCACTAGTGCATCTCTGCATCTGACCCATGTGACTCTCCAAGCAGCCGTTGCAGCCCTTTGACCAGAGAGCTATTATGTACACACAGCAACACCAGGAAGTTTTGTATCAGTGCAGCAGACAGAGGAAGGAGCATGGAATTTTATGGAAAGACATTTTAAACACTAAACGGTAAGACATTTTCTTTTATAATGTTAATTAGGAGAATAGATATAGGCTATAACCATATGTATACTGTGTATGCTTATAACCTGTGGCACAACGTATGTTTGTTTCTTCTGCCATAGTTTAATTGATATTATCCAGCTGCACATGGATACGCATGTAAATAATAATTTAAATGCAATACACTCAAATTATTTCATATCTGCAAGTTAAATAATTAAAACATGTATTTAAATATTGTCTACTTTACAACAGCCTTCAGCTTCAGCCAATAGCGTAACTCTGTTTGTTTGAATGGGAAACAAAGAGAGATCGCTAATTGGGCGAGAGCAGATGTCACGTGACGCAGAGACGTTACGCTGTCATGGAGACCGTGAAAGACGCTTTGTTCCTCGTGCGTACAGAGCGTATATATAAACGGAGAGAGGCGGCGCTGCTCGGGCTCCATATGGGACCCTAAATCACGGCCACAAACCGCTCTGTCACTTGTTAAAGACGAGTTACGATGTGAAAATGTAAGCAATGTGGATAATACCGACATGAACGGGATTGTTGTGTTGTTTTGAGGAAGTTTCTCCCGCTGAAAACGGTAATATAGTGTTATTTAGTTTTCTAGTTAACATTAAATTTGGTCCGCTCTTGTAACTTAGCGTTAGTTACTTTGTTTAAGATGTTCGTAAACTATGCGTTTTTATAACCTATTTAGGCCGAATATACGGCAAATGCCTTTAAAATCAGTGATTCGACAAGAAAAGTGCTTTTAAAGTAGAGATTTTGGATTTTAAATAAGTTTAACATGCGTGACGGGGCAGCTGGCACTCTGGGTGGAGGGGTGGATTTTATTAGGTGAGTTAGGACAAAAAGCACTTTGTCTTTTTGACAGATAATTGACAAATGTAGTTATTTTCATTTTATTTAGCATGCAACACAAAATCTAAATATCCTAAAAAGCTAAACCTTAAACCTACTTTTATGACATTTCAATCACGAATAAAGACTTACATTTCTAACACAAATAACATGGCATGTGACACACAAAAAGCTTCATTGTGTGTGTGTCTTTGTTATACTTTTTTGTAATTCTCGCTTTCTGTGTTTCAGAATGACAACAACACACACAAGTGTTGGCAGCTTACATTAACTGACATACAGTGGTGGCATCCACAAAGATGAGGATCCAAGGGCAGCCTGAAGGCGCTAGAAGGCGTCTGGATTTAAGTTTAGTTGGTGAACTGAGGGGTGTGGAAGTCAGCCGCGGTCGAGCTGGATATGGATTTACTATAGCAGGACAGCGCCCATGTGTTATGAGTGGGATTTTAAAGGGAAGCCCTGCTGACCTGGTGGGACTTAAACAAGGGGATCGCATAATGGCTATCGATGGGACAGATGTTTCAGCTGCCTCTCATGAGACTGTGGTACAGCTCATTGGAAGCTCCAGGGGCCCTCTGAGACTGGTGGTTCACACTGAAGGTCGCATAATTGAAAATCCTATTCTAGCTGATGAAAAGTTTGGCCAGAAAGGGAGGGGTTTCCAAAGAGCAGGTGTTCTCCGTACCATCTCAGACGATTCTAATAACTCCTCTTTTAACCAAGTAACCACTTTTAGACAAAGGCCTGTGTCAGAGCCGGACATGTCACAGTGGTCACAACAATGGAGTGCTTTAACTCAGCAGGACAAGGAAGAGCTCTCCAGGTCAAGGGACACAGACTCTGTTTTCACTGACACAGAGGAAGTGAGTCCAGAGTGGAGTGTGTTGAACATGACTTTGGTGGTGGGCTACCTGAGCTCCACTGAGCTCATCCTCAACACTTCAGACTCTGATGACTGTTTAAAAGCTATTCTGGAGCGAATCCGACAGTTGGGAACAGAGCAGGACACGCACACTTTGGTCATGATGAAGATCATGTTTGACTGTATTCGACTGTGTGACGATGCAGGTGCTGTACTGGCAGCTTTTCCAGCTGAGAACCTGGTTTTAGGAGCAGTGTGTGCAGAAGATTCCCGTTTCTTTTGCTTGGTGACCACAGCACACATCATCAATGGCCAGGTACCAGAGGACAGCCCCTTAAGGGCCTCCTGCCATGTTTTCTTCATTGACCCAGAGCTGAGCAGACATCAGGACCACATCGGCATCGCTGGACGTTTTAGCTTGAGCTGCACTGCAGACCCGGACACGTCTGGCTGCCTGGAGTTCCCCCAAACACCGTCAGACGTGCTGCACTTCGTCACAGTGTTGTACAGTGATATGGGAGAGGCGGTGGAGAGGCTCAGGACCAAGCTGGACTCTGAGGCCCAGCAGCAGGCTTATGCCAATGGTACCAGTGATAACCACGGCAGCGCTAGCAGCAATGGGGACAGCGGAATAGGGAATAGTTCACCTCCTGAACAGAGAACAGATCGGGATTTCCCATCCATGGTGAAAACCCCCCCTGGATCCCACCTTCCCAGCTGTCCCTGGGATTATCCTGCGTCTGAAGACCTCACCCCAATAAACCTTTCTAAGAACCAGCCCAAACCTAATCTTGAGAACAGTACAGGCACGCATTCCCTTTCCGAGTCTCTTCCTGGCCCCGATGGTCTTACCAGCTTCTATGGGGGACCCCCACCCAGGCTGGAGTTCCAGTTCAAGCCACCACCTCCACCACTGCCGCTCACTAAAAAAACAAACTTCTTGGCAGACCCTCTTCGGAGGAGCCAGAGGTGGTTTTCAAAGCCCAAGTGGTCCAGGACAGTGAATGATGAGAATGAGCCTCAGGAGGTCCCCAGCTGGTCTAGTGCGGGCCTAGGGTCCGGCCCCTCCAACATGCCGCCGCCTATGAGCCAAATCCCCTCAGACAGGTACCAGGCAGCGGACGCCATGATGCTCCCACCACAAGAGGAGTGGACCAAGCGCTTTATTGAGCAAAGAGACAAACAACACAAGTGCGCTCACAAAAATGTAAGACTAACGTTTTATTTACATTATGATGTACATCATGTCCAACCACATTAATTGTTAAATCTTGATTTAATTGGCTATAATAACCTTAATTAATTGATTATTTTGATTAATTGCACAGCCCTGATTCTGTTCTACTATTGCACATTTGAAGGACACTATTTCACACTGTGTTTGCCGCTCACACTCATACAAACATCTGTGTTTCTACTTGTTCAACACAGGAAGTATTAAATTGGTCACCACAAGTTGTCCAGACACTATGGGTGTATTTGTAAAGCTTTTCAATGGCACTTAAAATGTCCCACAAAGAGCTCTGCTTTTTAAATTGGTGGTGAGTGTGAATGAAACTGAAATAACACCTGTTTTTAGTCAATTATGTCATTGTCAATGTTGAATGTTGCTCTCCTGTTTGCCCACAAGATGTCCCTATGTACCCAGAAAGCCCAGAGAAAACCACTTTGATACAGAGCTTATCCAAAATTTTTGAATAGAGTGCAAATGTCTGAGTAAAAAATAAAACTGTTAACAGCAAATTCTACAATGTTCTGCACAATCAGAACTGGCATAACATTTGCTAGACACCCCTTCCAAGTTTGCATTTGATCAGAGGGAGACAGTCTTGCACAGGAAGCCAGACAAATGATAGGGCAGAGCACATGTCACACCAGGATAATTATCTGAGTCAGTGATTCCTAATTTTTTTTATACTTCTTGACTGGCACCAAGCCTCTTCAGAAAACATCGAAATGTTCACCTCATCCATGCCCATATTGTAATTATTTGGATAATATCAGTCCTGGAATTTTCAGTCTCTACTGAACATAAGGTAAAAGGTGCTGTTAACATGAACACTGCCACTACGTGACATCACAAGGTGGAACAGAGCATTTGAACTTTGGGAAGGTAGGTGGACTAATAATAAAAGGTTACTCAAACAAACATCTGTGAATGAAATACAACTTGAGGTATGTTTTTTAGGAGGTAACAACATTCCAACGTGGCATAAAGCTCACAAAAATATTTTTTTGGTAATGTAAAACCTTTAATTAATTTGTGTCAGCCTTTTTACCATTGACACTCAAAATCCACCCAATCACCACCACAAAGACATAAAAGGCCAAATTTATTTAATCAGTTGGTTTTCAATGAATACAGTGCTTTTAATGTGGCTTATTTCAAGGCATTTATAGTGAAATGTTTTAGCGTTATCACATTAGCCAGTTTCCCAGTGTATTCATAAGTTTGAACCTTTTACACGCTTATGACCCCAATTAATTTTCCTCTCATGTTTTCTGGTCTTTCAGGGCTCAAGGTTTTGGGGAAGGGGTGTCGTCCGAGCCTCAAAACGGCGCTCATCAAAACGCCTCAGTCTGGCGAGATCTCTGGACGACCTTGAGGTAATGAGCGACTTTGTTTTTTATCTGGGCCCATACAGAATTTGACCTGATGCAATTATAACTCACCTGCTTTTGCTTTGTGTAATGTTGCCAGCTGTTTGTAGTTGTTTCTAAAGAAAATGCTTGGATCTTGGTTGGTAATTTAGAACAAATAACTGTAAATCTGCAGAAAGAAGACAATACAAAGCTGGGCAATAGTCATTTGTTTTGGCTCATTCCAAATGGTGTGTTTGCAGTTAAAAGAGATGCTTAATATTATTTGTTATGTAATTTGGATGGATAAAGAAGTTCTTATTGTCACTGTTAGGTAATCACTGGTATAAGGCCCTTATTCATACAACAATAACTTTGAAATACAAGCAATTAGAACATACTGTATCTCTTATTTGTGTTTAGTCGATTTCAAACATGATTTCTATACTAAGGAATAAACTTGATACTGAATACAGATTCCGATACCACAATGATTTAAAAAAAACACTTCAGCTTCATTTAGATAATACTATGTGATTTTCAACATAAAATTATAACAATAAACATTTGTAACTTTGCAATCCCTCCATAGAGGTCCATGGGCGTATGCTAATCTTTGATTTATGTGATCATTCTAAAGCGATTGAGAAAAGGTTAATTTCTGTCATGTGAATGTGACTTTTATTATCAATATCTTCTCAAATGAGTGTCTAGTTTTGATTACTAGTTTTAGCATTGATTAGTATCTCATTTTCAATACTCTGACAACCCTATGTCTTACTGATTCCCAAAATGTCACATTTTTTAAACCGCTAAAGTTTTCCAGTCTAAAAGTATCCTTTTGCCTGGACCACATCTCTTTTTAACCCCTCATTTCCGTTACCTTGAACTGTGAGTTTGCTATTACACTTGTAGTAAGGGGTCCCAACAAAGTGCTCTTTGTGCCGAGGTTTGCCTGTCCCCCTGTTTGTTTGCCCGCACTAATGAGTTAGGCCTCACAACTCCTCAAACTCTATTAATGTGCCCTTTCTTCTACTGTACTACAACCACACTCTCACAAAAGCACACTTCTCTCTATTCAGACATGCCATAATTGCTATGAATGCGCATTTAAACATTTGGACAATGCAAACCGAAATAGGCTGTACTGTATTGTGTATCCGTGAATTAGTCAGAGCTGCACCAGGACACGCCCCAGACCTCACATTGTAAATCAAACAAATGAGTTCCTTAGACTTGTGGAAAAGGGGCTAATTTGGAGCCTAGGCGCAGTGGAGTTAAATGGTTCTATTAATGATGAGAGATTCTTTTATTGTCGCTTCCTGTCATAACAAATCCAGTGTCATGCACAGAGCTGTCAGATGATTGGTGGTGGATGTTTGGAAGAATTTTGGCTTCCTCGCGCTGGTAATAATTTTCTATCTGCTGTGGAATAAATGATTGCTCCTGCGTCGTCACTATTAAAAACAAGACAGCTGTTTAAAAAGTGTCATGCTGAGACACCACTCAATGGGAGAGACTGAGACTGTCGGCTTGCAAATTGTGCTCTGATAAAAAACATCACGTCTTCTCTTAAGATTCAGTCTACAAGTGATATTTCTTTCTCATTTTTTTGGCATAGTTTTATTTTTTGTTTCTGCAGAAGCTATTTTATTTCTATAGATGATGTGACTTGTGGGTACTGCTGTTATACAGGGCTGTAAGATATGACAATGAAAGAGCATATTCCCTTTACCTAATCAATAGTTATTGTTATCTTGCCTCCAGTCTAGAAAGTGTTGATTTGCATTGTTTTTCGTCCACCCATAGTGCCAACGCGTTGCTTCATAGTGTAATTCCTTGCTGATGTCTTAAATCAGGCCATTTATTATAACTAAAGCAGTCTATAAATAATTGGTTTATGTGTTAACACTAGAGCTGCACAACTGAATTGAAATCTTAATTATCAGAATGGTAAAGACTAGAGGTGTAACGATATTCATATATTCAATCACGGTATGAATCCCACAGTACGATATTTATTGTGATATCCTGGGAAAGCTCACGATATAGTGGGGAGGCTCACGATTAGGGATGTAACAATATCCAAATCTCTAAGTGCGATATACATCTCACGGTATGAAATTTATTGACATATTTTGTGGAGGCTAAACAGCTAAAACTGTTAATCTGTTACTTTTTCCTCTTAAAACGATTTGACAAGACTTAATCCAAAGAACTAAGACTTGAAAGTGCTTAGAACTGTTATTTCTTCTTGTAGTCTACACTGAAATGGTGCAAAAGATCATGGTCTATGTAGTTCCCTCTGTTTTTAAGCTATTTCTGCACCATAACTTTTAATTTAAGCAAAGAGACTTGTAATTCGATACATTGTGATGGTCCACGATATTATTATTATTGTTACATCCCTAGTAAAGACTGCAATTAGTTTAATAAAAGAAAATCCTCTGCAAAGAACAGAACTTGCTCATTATAAAAAACATCTTGTCTTTATTTTTTTTAAAAAGTCTATGTTCTCAAATTCATGTAATTCTTGCACTAGTTTCTGTTCATATTTCAGTTTTCTCTCAAATCTTAATGCTGCTGGAGGGTTTACAATGCACACTCTGATTAAATGTTTATCAATTAGAGTTATTCCTATCCCTATAGACTAGCTTTACAAATACAAGTTTTTTTTTGAAGCATACAGAACAGTCTATATCTTTTCCTACCCCCATACGAATGTAGTAGTACCTCTTACATTCATAACAATAATACGATCCTCGGAGCTTTAAGCCGGGGCAAGTCTTTTTGCCTGAGCATGTATGAAATGTTACAGTTGTCAGCGGTAATAAAGCATCAGGGTTCTATTTCAAGGCCGAACATTAGTCTGGCTTTGTGGATAGAGATCACAGTGTTGACTTCTCTGCTATTATAGACCCAAGCCCATCCAATGACATTAGCAATTATGTCCATATAAAGAGTTTCACAAGGGGGAAGGCTGGTGGTTTACTTTAGCAACTCTTTATTTAAGCCACCACCGAGCTATAATGTGTTAAAAAAAAAAAGAAGTGGTACTGGTATTGACACGCTCCCGATGGTTTCAAATTACATTGGGCAATCCATCAAAAATTTGCTGTCGACACTTTGCAGCTGATGTCATTAACATTCCCTCTGGGTGTGATGCTAACTGTGGCACTGCTCCGTCTGAAGCTCTGTTAATCATATTATAGACTTTAATCTGAGTTTTTTTTTATGCTATCTGACCAGAAAGAACTGACAGGTGAGCTGATTGTGCTGTGACAAACAAATCCCTCACGAATAATATTACAGTCAAAAGACAGAAAGCATTAGCCAACATTTTTTTCAGTTATTCACGCTCACCTTTTTGTTGAAAATCAAACGCCTATGCAGGACCATGAAGACTCACATCGATCACAGGCTCCTGAAAATGTCTTGTTTAAATCCATTTTGCATTTTTTTTCTCTTGACTTTCAGATTATTGTAAAACTTTTTGGGTAGTGTTTGGTAATGTGTGCAACTTCTCAACATTCTGCCGTATACTTACATGTAAGACCCCCCAGTGTGATTTCACTGCAAAGTATCAATAATATGCCTGAGGTTCAAGTTCTGCACCGATGTGAAAAGATAGAAAAATAAATCATAATAGTCCACATATTTCAGCACTTACTTTTGTTTGGAAGCTTCTAAACACTGTGAGTTTATCAGCTTTTTGTAGTGTTTGACACGTTTCCTTTTGATAGAGGATCTAATTTTGCGTGACTTCACCCTATCTGAGATATTTTGTTATCGTGTTGCCTAGTGCACCTACCTCTTGTGCTTGCCCTTTTTTCATGTTGTCATTATAAAACACTGTTAATTTGTGTCTATAGTGTTAATCTAAACATCTGGTGCTGTAGAACTGTTTTGGGATTCACCTGTTGGCACCTCCGGTTATGTGTAAATCTAGGACAATTTGAAACCTTCCTTCCAAAGACTGTTGCTGTGTGACAGATGAGCTAATGCTAGACTGAGCTTGTTATTTTTTACCTAGGTTTCTCTACCCACGCAGCAAGACGAACCACATGTAGCTTTTGTGTCTTTCTAGTTGAGCGGAGATGCAAATTGGGCAAATTCATTTACTGGGAGCGATCTTGTGAAGTGTATTGATCTTTCTGAGGGCTTTGTTGTTACCCCCCACTACCCCCTATTATTTTTGTTGACAAATTAGTTTTCCCTCTTTATCTTGTTGCCAACGCTTGTCAAGCCAATGTGTAAAACCCCCACATCCCACTGCTACAAGTCTATTTCTGTTTCATCCACATGAGGCAACTGCATTTTTGTTTTCAAACCCATGCAGGCAGATGACTGAGCTCAGTTTCAGAGGGATGACACTATTAACAGGCCACCGAGCTACTGTTCGCACGGATATATTTATGTAAACTAAGGCAGCATAGCATAATGTAAATAGCTTGTTATATCAACACACGCATATAGCAATAAGATGTGGATACCAAAAAGACCTGGTGCAATTTCTTAATGTAATTTTTTTTTCTATTTATGATTTGATGTGAATTTAGATAGGAGTTATATTAAAAGTACGCATCGCCTGTGTGTCTCACGAAAATATTGTTGTTTGTCCTGGAATGTTCCACAGTATGATATAAACTTCTTATCTTTTATTTATATTATAATCTATTGCCACTAATACTTGGTTTTGTTTTATCTACTTATATTATATTACATAAATTTGATTCTTGTGAGCTTTTTACTATTTTAGAATGTTGCTACCTCCTCAAAAACGTACCTAGATTTTGTGTTTTTTAAGTAACATGTTTGACTGACCCTTTATTATTAGTCTGTCTACATCTCCAAAGCTCAGAATGCTCCACCTTGTGATGTCGTGAAGTGGTAGTTTTGAAGTTAACAGCTGTCATTTTACCTTTTGTTCAGTATTTAATTTAGAATTTATTGTCATGTCCATTGAACTGACCAGAGCATAAAGTTCTGTACTGGCTGAGCTTCTCTCCAGTGTTAAATTGAATTAT